CATGAGAATGCCAGTGTAATACATGGATTGTCCATTGATCATCTTTTGCGCTCCCCTCATGTTCAACCCATTTTCTTTTATCAGTCTTTATTCCTGGTTTGTAATGTCTTGCACTCTATACATGCCCAACACAGTGAGCCTCTTCATTGCGCTTTTGTGTCAGCCACAATTTTAGTTCTTTGCACACCATAGTGTTCCATGAGTCACATCTGTGCATTTTAGGAAGAATGGACCTGGGATTTCCTTGGCTGAGAGGATTCCCTCTACTAATGTAGGCAGGGATATTCTCTTCAACTTCTAGTTTTACAGTCTTCCCTAGGGCATGAAGAGATCAAGGGACTTACTAAGGGCTACGTAGCCATTATGGGTCAGAGAGTGGATTTGAACCCAGGTCTTCCTGACTCTGAGGTCAGCTTTCTATATCCCTATACCATGCTGCCTTTCACGAGCAGAATAGAAAGTAGAGGATAAGGACTAGATCTGTGATTTCATCGATACAGGGAACTCCCAGTTGAAGGCACTCCCTCTACAAATGTAGGTCAGTACTCTCTCTTTAATTTATCATCTTAGTTGCCTAGAGCACTGAGAGGTTAAGTTGCTTGTCCAGGTTCACAGAGCCAGCATGCCGACAGGTAGGGTTTGAACCCAGATCTTCTTTATTACAAGGACAGCTCCCTGTTATATAATGTTGCCTTTCCCCAGGAAGAATATTGGTATTAAAAACATGAGCCCTTGTTTCACAGAGATTATTGGAGACTAAATTTTGTGACTTCCTAAAGGCCTTCTTTCTTCCTCCTGACCAACTCGGGGCCTAACTTATTGTCCATTCAAGATACGCGCACTTGGTGATAGATAAGATCCATAGATTATCTGTCCAGTTACATATTAGAATTTTATTTTATATATTTGGTTTTTCCTATGTGAAGAATTAGACAAAACTCTTTTGAATGATTCTGGATTTTTTTGAGGGTCTTGATTACTCAATCAACAATAATCTCAGGGCCCTTAGTGGTAGATAAAGGGTCAGGATGAGAAGTGGTGTGGCATACTGGATTAAAAAAAATTGCTACCATTGTTCCTTACTAGGCTTCTGACATCTGTCCCATTCTTTTCAAAGACTACCAGGTTTGATTCTGCTGTCACATATGCAGTTTTTCTGGACTAGGGTATTTGAATACCTTAGACCAGCTGCTTTCTTGATATCTTCTCTCTTGTCCTGGGCTTCAATTCCTTTTTAATAAATGATAAAACAAAACTCAAATGGTTGCTTCTTTCCCCAAAGTTTTTTTTTTGTCATTTTCATGCTATCAACTCATTTTTTTTTGTTGGGGGGTAAGAATAAAATCCAAAATAACCATTTTTGTTGCTTCTATTACTGTGTAAAGAAAATTATCAGAAAGGCAAATAAGCAATTCATTAGATAATTATGTTTTCATATTTTAATTTCCAATCCATGTTGAGATAGTTTGGTTGAAATTCCCTCTCATTCTTGGATTTTGTGTCCCATTTTTTTAAAATTAACATATCTGATATCACATTTGATGATCTATGCCTGGGTGGTTGCTAGTTCTTTATAAAGATTATTCTCTATCTCTCTATCCAAGTACAAAAACAAACAAACAAACTATACTCTTGCTTTTGGAATATTTGAAATTCACACAGGGATCTATTTTCTTAATACCCAATATTGCTCCTTATCTCTTTATATTAGGTCAATTTCTTTTTTTAAAAATATGATTAAATTGTTCTTACTTAGTAAAATACTTTTTTTCTTCTTTCCACTACCTCCTTCCCCAGTGAAAAATAGAAAAACAAATAGAATTGTACTTTAGAAGCACCAATTTGGCAAGTGTCCGGAAGATGGATTGGAGAGGGAAAGTATTTGAGGCAAGGAGACCAATTAGAAATGTATTGAAATAATTTGGGAGAGAGGTGATTAGGTCATGAATGAGGGTGCTTGTGGTGTGAATAGAGAAAAGGGAATGGATGCATGAGATATTTTGAAGGGAAAAATATTGCAACTTAACATTGATAAGAGAGAGAGGAAAAAAAAGTCAAGGATCACTCCAATTTTGTAAATCTGAGTGAACTGAAATATGGTGGTACCTTTGATGGAAACAGGCACATTTGGAGGAGGGGGTAGACCTAGGGGAAAAGATAATGAGCTCTGTTTTAGACATGTTGAGTTTAAGATTCCTTGGGGTGATTCCAAGAGGCAGTTGTAGGAAGCAAGATTGGAGCTCAGAAGAGAGATGAGGGTTGTATATTTAGTTTTGGGTGTCATTGCCACATGATGGTTGAACTCATGGAAATTGGTGAGGTCACTGAGAAATTAGAGACAGAAAAGGAGGGGGCTCAGGAGGGCCCTGGGTTATAGGGGTGGGATGTGAGAGGTAGGGTATCTGTTAAGAATAACTTCTTAGGAAAGTTGTTGGTGCCTTTAATAGACAGATAAGAGACAAAAAGAAGAGTTGAGTAGACAATTTGTTCTGTTTGGGAAATGTTGACTTTGAGATGTTGGTCCTTTTTCTAGGGTATTGAGTAGGCTATTAGCCATCTGCCCAAGTGTAAAAGTCAAGGCTAAGGGGAACGAATGTAGCCTTCATTCATCTACTTTGTGGTGAGGAACAGAGCTGTGGGAGTGGATGAGGTTAAGAAGGGATAAAATGTGGAAAGAGAAGAGATCCAAGCTCAGAGCTCTAGGCAATGCTTGCATTTTGAAAGGAAGAAAAATGGTGGAAATATTGCATCAGATATTCAGAAGAGGGTTACCCTAGAGCTGTAGTTGAAGGCTGCAAAGAAGGAGTCAGCACATAATGAGGGAATGAAGACGTAAGAAAAATGGAATCATTGAAGGAGTAAGGGCCAAGTAAAGAGCAGAGTGATAAGGTCTAAGGGCCTAGGTGAAAGCTCAAGAACGGAAGCTCCATTATTCAGAGGCAAGAGTAGCAGAAGGATGATGGTCCAGGGAATTTCTGAAGGGTGGTGGAGCATAATAGGAGCAGCTCACTTTGGCTAGCCAAGATATCAGTGGAGTAGCCAGCAAGGCCACTCCAGAATATGGTTTAGGAATGAGGTTGGGGCCTTGAGAATGGAAAATGTTAGGAAACAGTGGCTGTGGGGAATGTGATAGAAAATCCATAAGACGTCAAACAAAAAAAAAAGAAAAAGGAGTTCTGAACAGCCTGTAATTTAATGTGCCCACCAAGATTATCCATAGGCCACCCAGAAATGTTGCTAGCGATATCTCTGTTTTGGATAACTATTTCTTGGCACATGCTCAGTGAGAATGAAAGTTATTTACACTAAAATCACTTTCCAAAATAAATAACAACAAATGCTGCAGAACAGACACCTTAAACATATGAAGAAAAGTATGTAGTAATATTGTAGTTGGATGGGTAAGATAGAAAGAATGAAAGAAGGGAGCAAGCATTTATTAAGCACCTGCTATGTGCCAGGCACTGTACAAAGTGCTCTACAGTTAGTATCTCATTTAAACTTCACTATTTTGAGGAGTAGGTACCATTATTATTCCTATGTTACCACTGTGGAAACTGAGGCAGAGAGGCTAAGTGACTTGTCCAGCATCACATAGCTAAGTGTCTGAGGCAAGATTTTTTTTTTGGGGGGGCTAGGCAACGGGATTAAGTGACTTGCCCAGGATCACACAGCTAGTAAGTGTTATGTGTCTGAGGCTGCATTTGAACTCAGGTCCTCCTGAATCCAGGACCGGTCTCTAACCACTGCATCACCTAGCTGCCCCTGTGAGGCAAGATTTGGACTGAGGTCTTCCCAATTCCAGGCCCATTGACCTTGTGATTATTCTTTTTTTTGGGTCCAGACTCGTGATTTCATTAGTGCTGAACTCCTGGTGTTCTCCAATAAAGTAGAACAGGTGACTTCTGTGTTAACACAGTGTTCAGAGAGGTCTAGGCACACGGAGAGAAGTGGAGTAGCTTACCTTTGGTCCCATGGCTAGTATGTGTCTCATAGGGTAGCTCAGTGAGAAAGAAACTGGAGCCTTCATTAGGGCTATTGGAAGCAGTCATTTTCCTTCTGTAGTAACATGGGCTGTTCTTGTGAATGACTTTTCATAGGTCTTCCTTAGAGACCCTCCTCTTATTCTTTCATCAGCTTGGGGGTTCCCGTTTACCACTGGGACTATCCATCTATCTTGATTAGTTTCTGCTATATGAACATCCCATCTCTAGCCATGTACAACCTTTGTAATGTCTTTCATGTCACTTCTTGTTTCCAAGTCATCCTGGTAATATGTTACAATCCGCTCAAGTCTTTCCATTGTCCTTTGGGCTATTTGTAATTCCACTTAGTAGCTCCAAAATAAATAATATGAGTTAAATAGTAGAAATCTCAGCATTATATGTGCAGCTGCAACAATGAATGTCCAAAGCCACAGGCAAACAATTTGTTGAGAATTTGAATGTGGAATTATTAACTGAAGCTAATTTATTTAACCCCACAGTTGATAGCAGAAGAACATGTGTCAAAGTGTTCAGGGACATCAGAGACAGTGGATGACTGACCGCCTTTTAAAATTGCCATGCACTTCACCGTTTTTCTCTGAATTAAATTACACAGGGACATCTTCATTGACCTATGTATATCTGGTGGCATCTAGGGGTGTAAAGAAATGTGTATTGTATGCACGTCATTATAGCATATTGGTAATGCAGAAATACAAACATTCCCTGAGAGAAATGTCAGCCTGGATATGCACATAGGCTTTGTAACTGACTTCTGGCTAGGATGGGAGCTACTGCACATCTCTGAAGGCAATCATCTTCAGTGTTAAAGGCAACATTTGATGCTTTACATCTGATACAACTTTGTATGGCTCAGACTTTCAAGTCTTAGAAATTCATTTCTAAAGTTATTTTAATTGATCCAAATGTATTATCACCACATTCTTTATCAACCTGTCATTCTCTTACAGAGTGAAGGCACATGCTATATTCTTCTTTTCTTTTTGACCACAGGTTAAATACAGAGAAAAATTTGATAATGAAATGAAGGATAAGAAACACCACTATAATCCTCTTGAAAGTGCTTCTTTTAGGCAAAGTCAGTTTGCAGCTACACTTGCAAGTGATGTAAGTTCATTTGTTTATTTTTATTGTCCTGAAATCTATAGAGGATGTATGTGTGACCAAAAACATGTAAGGAAACAACAAAAAATAAAGAAATAAAAAAAAAGTCTTCTCTGTTGCTACTATATTCAGCATTAGGAATCAATTGACATTTTTTTTGTTGTTGAAGAGGATTGTGTGCAGTGATTTTTAAATAACATTTTAAGGAAAAGAAAGAACAAATAAATGTGATTTGGTTCTTTACTGATTTGTGTGTATATATAAGTGTATATCTACAATATGTGTGTGTGTGTGTGTGTGTGTGTGTGTGTGATGCGCGCACACACACACATACACATGCTGATTTCCATTGGCCTTTCTTCTCTTTGAAGTTAGTTGCTTTGTTTTCCAAACAATGTCAGGGCTAAACAGCAAAGAGTTAAAAGCGAAAACCAAATAGTGGTAGTTCTTTAGTAGATTGACGATTTTTAAAAAAATCCTAGATTATGTTTGGGACCAAAATGACTTTGTACATTTGGTTGAGCTCCACCATATGATAATCTGATTTTTTGAAAAGACAGGCCAAGGACCCTGATTCATCATCTTTTCTCTTTCCCTATTTCCTTCTGCCTCCTTCTTTCTTTTCCCTTTTCCATCCCTCTTTCCCTTCCTCCTTCCTTTTATTTTCATTCTTCCCTCCCCTCTCCTTTCTCATCCCCTTTCTTTTTCCAGACTGGTGGTTTCATCTATGTAGGGAACTCTGAATGTGGAAACTCCATCCACCGATACAAGTCAACACCTAGTTCTTAGCTTATACACTTAAAGAGTAGCTTGGAGACATTGAGGGGTTAAATAGCTCATACATTGTCATATAGCTAGGCTGGATCGAAGACTGTACTAGATCAGGTCTCTGACTGAGGCCAACTCTCCATTCATTAAATATCTTTATTATGGGGGAAAGAAAAAAGAAACCTGCACTCTGCATTTGTAACTCGTGGTTTTCATAAGCAAAAAATAATGAACAAATGACAGTCACAAATGGATAGTTTCTTTATATTTCTTTAAAATAATAATGTAAGTCAGTGTGAAAATACAGTAAAATTAAAACAATTACATTTAGATGCAACTTTTTAGGAATGTATCCAAAATCTTGTTAAAAAAAAAAAAAGGCTGGCACGTAGTACAACATTTCCATATAATTTACAGCCCTTCACTCTGTAGTTCACAAACTGAGTCCTCAATGTCTTTTATTTAAAAAAATAGATTCCAAATTATTTTTGTAATTAATTAGAAAACATTTGCCTCCTAAAATACATATTTTTAGGCTTTTCTTTTGCTTCACATTCCTAACTATACCCCGCAATTAGAAAAAAAAAACACCATGCATTTTGCTGTAGTTGAACATAAATGTTTTATTGAAAAAAATCTTTACATGATTGAATAATGTTTTGTTAAACCATTTCAACCTTTAGCTCAAGGCAAGCCCTTCAGGAATTAGGGGATCTTGATTTCATGGATAATCACATAGGAAGGATATGTTCTTGTAATTTATATTTATAGCTACAAGTTGCTATTCTTATCTTCCATAGTAATTAGGAATCCTGAGTTTCTTTTTTGTTGTTGTTCTTATTTTATTATCTTTTTTCAGATCTTATTAAATAAAAGTAAAATGAAAATAAAGACAAGATCTAATGAATGCTGCTTATTGAGGACTTCTCAGAATAGATTAGATTCATTCCACTTTCCTCCCTCCCAAGCAATCAATGTGAAATATTCTGTAAAGGGAAAAAAATCGTAAAGAATACTGATTCTTTTTTAAAAAATAACATTTTTACAAATTTTCTTGTGAACTCAAGGTCAGTAGAAGATTAAATAATGTTCTCACAAATCGTAAGTCAAACACTAAAGGATTGGTTTGGAGGAATAAAGTTATACATTTTATTCTTTTTTTGATTTTGAAAAGCAATGATTTCTTGAAAAAATGTGACAATTAACTTCGCTGCCTTGTTTTTATGAACAATTGGAGTGCCTATTAAAACATTGTTTCAGCATCTGAAAATGGAAATGGTTGGATAATTGAATTTTCTACTTGTTCAGAAGTGAATGAGCACCATCTAGTGGCCACTTGCAATTAATTAATCAGGCCACTTGCCAACACAATTGTTGTCATGTTTTGCTTTCAAAATAGAGCTCACCGTGTCTTCTGCTGGATTGCATTTTGTTCTATGTTATTTTATAGGTGCAGTACAAGAAAGACGCTCAGATGATGCATGATCCAGTTTCATCTCTCCCGAGCCTGTTTTTAGACCATGCTTTGAAAACCAGCAAAATGCTCAGTGATGTAAGTTGGTTTTTATTACATGAGAGATTGACTGGCCATTTGTAATACAGATATTACTCTGTTCTCCTTGCCCTTTCCCCCATGTGTGTTTACTTCTTTGTTGACAACTAATTTGATTCAAAATATTGATTTCCTTGCATAATCATTCCAAGACCATCATTTTTGAATAATAATTCCCGTTAGAACTTTGGTGGGTACTGATAGAAAAAATTCTTTTGAAAGTACAAAAACCTTGTTTTTCAGAGAAACAATTCCCATTTTGCTTCTTTTCTTTCCTTTGCCATCTAATTTTTAAAATTGTCTCAATGTACTATTATATAAATGAAATATCAATACGAATCTCTATTGATACTCATTTTACTCCTTTCCTTATGTTTCTGCTTGTTTGTTTGAACCCATGATGGCAAATTTGTTAAGGAAGAAACCAGTATATTTAGAAGTGCACAATGGGAACGGTTTTTTTGAAAAATTCCTTAAAGTATTTCTGACATATACCAATGTGGACTCGTTGTTTTTGCCTCGTTCTTTGGTCATTTAGAACATTCAGACCCTTAACAAAAAGTATTTCTGATTTTCATTATGACCACCAGGAGTTGTGTTATGGGGCTTTGAGAGCCTTTTTTTCCCCCGAGATGACCTTGGGCCCACCTTCCAAGGAAACAGTCGCTTGGTTGAGCTCTTTTATTTGATCTCAAGTGTATTATCTTTTTTGTTGTTGTTGTTGTAAAGCATATTTTTAAAACAGAAAAAGAATGAGAGAAAAAATATATGTTGGATGAAGACACATGGCGCAGATGGGGAATCCTTGTCTTGGACTGCCATAATCATGGATTCAAAAGTCCCATGTCCCAAACAATGTCAGGGCTAAACAGCAAAGAGTTAAAAGCAAAAACCAAATATTGGCAGTTCTTTAGTAGATTGACAATTTTTTAAAAAAAATCCTAGATTATGTTTGGGACCAAAATGTCCCTAAAGTCCCATTATCATTGTTTATATACGATAATTCCAGACTCTTCAATAATAAAGGACATCGTCTGCTTCAGAACATACTGATAACTAGTTTTGGTGAAGAGGGCTGCATTTGGAATGAAAGAAACCAGGAATTCACCTGTTAGCCTTGTCACTCCTTCTGTGACCTTGGGCAGATCACTCAGACTCTCTGACCTTGTGGCCAAGGCCTAGCCAGTCTGTTAGGAGCTTCGTGCAAGTAAGAATTATGTCATTCCTTGTACACAGATCCCTCTCCCCTAAAGCAGTGCTTGGGTCATTGTAAAGGTTTCAGAAATCTTGCAAGTCGGGAGGGCTCCCATAAGTATCAGTTTGTCATCTGTAAATGAGCTTATTTGTCTGAAGTGTCAGCAAGGGATAATTTGTTAATTTGCTCTTGTTCTTTAGGTCTTCATTCTGAAACATCCTCCTGGCATTCCCATTTTCCCAGATAAGAGTATTATCCACCCCAGCTGTGCATGCAAACTAATTGGCTTCTTCTAAATTTTAACCTAACATAAATTGCAATTTTCTTCTCTTAACCCCTCCCCCCACCATTTCCATTATAATTGTATCCAATGAAAGTTTATATTTACTGTGTCCTTGCTCTATGTCAGATTAATATAGGAGAGACTACTTGTAATGGCACACTTATTTTAGGTTCATTCATTCATGATTGATATAAGCATTTGAGGGCAGAAATCTGGAAATTCTCTCTCCCTCTCTCTGCCTCCTTCCTTCCTTCCTTCCTTCCTTCCTTCCTTCCTTCCTCCCTGCCTTCCTTCCTCTCCTTCCCTCCTTTCCTCTCCCCTCTTCCTCTCCCCTCTCTTCCCTTCCTTCTTCTTCCTTCCTTCCTTCCTCTCTCCCTCCCTCCCTCCCTCTCTTCCTCTCTGCCTTCCTCCCTACCTCCCTCCCTGCCTTCCTTCCTTCCCTCTCTCCCTTCCTCCCTCCCTTCCTTCTGCCCTCCCTTCCTTTTTTTCCTCCCTTCTCTTCTGCCTGGGTTCCTCTCTTTCTCCACATCTTCCTTCTCTCTTCTTCCCTCTTCCTTCCTTTCCCTCCCCCTCCATCTCCCCTCTCTGTCTGTCTTCTGTTTCTGTCTCTTTTTCTTTATATATCCAGCATCTACCACAGTGCCTGGAACAAAGGAGATGCTTACTATATCCTTGCTGTATCTATTTCATGGGTATTGAGGATCACATGAACAATTGTATACATAGTTCACTGCAAGTCTCTAGACTATGGAAATACCCACAATTATTATTATTACAATGCAGGAAATGAAACATAAAGAACTGTTGACAGACCCTAAATTAGATCTCAGTTTCAACCCACTGAAACCACACTGGCATGTCATTTCCTCTAAACCCACAGATGTGGAATTCCATACTTCTACATGTTAACTGACTCTTTGCCTCTTTTTCGATTACATGCATTTATTCCTGACTCATAGCAATCCTTATAAAAATCAATAAAATGCTTTTCCTTGAGCCTTCTACTTCAGTTTTTTTTTTTGACCTTCAAACAACCATTAAACCCTCCCCAGTACTTTACTCCATGTCATACATTCTTGTGACCTGGGTTTTGTTCTAGGGTGATGAAATTCTTTTACATAAATAGTTCTATGATAAATTCAAATAAAAGTACATTTAATTATATTATTTTGGTCAGAAACCGAGTTTGGAGGGATCTGGGCATATCTTGACAGAGGCTGGGTTTCAACTATTTTAAAGAGAATGTAACATTATACACCATTCATGGGTTAAATTTGTTATCAGCTGTAGGGGCATATTTGTAAGATCCATCAATAAGCATTTAGTAAACTCTTGTCATGTGCTAGACACTGTGCATACAGAAACATATGTGAGACAGTCCCTGCCCTCAAGGAGCTTACACCATAGGGACAGATTTTACTGTCATTGCTACATATACCTTTATGCACTTGAGTCAGCTAACATTCACGTTACCAGTCAAAGCCATAAATTAAATTCTTATTCATATTTAACTTTGAAAGTTTCATGTCAGCTTGTCTAAGAGAAGCATACCATCTTGCTCTCTGGTTTTTCCAAGGGAAGGCAGTGATGGTTGATCTTGACTTGCTGTTATGGAATGCTAGGCTTGCGAAACTCATATGTATCTGTGTAGTGCAGTCCCCTTCTTTTCTTTTAAAACCTGGTGCCTAATAGTTAGTAAACAAGGTGTAATCTTCTAGATAAAGAAAGGAACAATTTGCTTGTTTGAAGTGTCAATAAAGAATAATTTATCAGTTTGCTAATTGTTCTTTAGGGCTTTTCTCAGAAACATCCACCTATCATTCTAAGTTGCCCAGATAAAAGTATTAACCTGTGCAGCTGAGCATATGAAACAATCTTAGTTTCTTGTTGACTTTAATAAAAAATGAGTTGGAATTTTATTTTTAGAAAAGGCTCGTCTATTAGAATTGCATCTAAAGATGCTAAATACATTTATATCCTACAGAGTTCAGGATTTGTGAATTAAAACTGATATTTTTTCATGATGAACTTTAACTGACCTTGCTGTAAATCAGAAGTCCTCAGCCATTTCTGTGTGACAGAGCCTTCTGGCAGTGTAGTGAAGTCTCTGAACGTTATCATGTTTTGTTTTGTTTTTTTTTAAACATAATTAGAGGAAATTTTAAAATTTCAGATAGAGCTTGGTGAAAATAAAGATGTATTTTTTCCCATGCAATTTCATTAACACCCTGAAATCTATCCATGGGTCTCTTGATGGTCTGTGGATTCCAAGTAAAGTAAAGAACTATCGACTTATAAATTGTTATCTGTTACAGCTTAATATAGGAAGGACTTAGAATTATAGGTAGTGAAATTATCTGCCCTTTTGGGTGCAAAATATATTACAATAAATTTCAGGATTTTCAGTTTGAGTTTTTTGGTTTCTGTGCTTTCATGAGGAAATTTAAAGTTTGTTAGGAAAACAGGACTAAAGCAACATTTTGTTTTACTCCAGTTTGATGTAAATAGAGTTTTAGGGATTGTTTTTTTTTCCCCCTGCAGCTATGTATGACTTCCACTAGGAGGCATCAGAGACTGTTAAATGTAGTGAATTTTATACATTGAAAAGTTCTTTGTAGTTCCAGAAAATTGGTGTTTTTTCGACATTTCCAAAGTGTTTAGAACTAAAGTTAATATTTATTTTGGGATCAAAGTTTTCATTATATGTTTACTTTGCCAGATGTGATAAATACAAACTTAGAAGTGCATGGTTTTAGGAAAAAGCAATTTATTAGTTCATTCGACAAAGAGATATTAAGTGTCTGCTGTGGGCCAGATCCTGTGGTGTAGGTACTGAGGAGACAAAGGGGGAAAAAAAAAAGAAAAGCGACAGATACTGCTGCTTTCAGAGAGTTTACGTTCTTGCTGTGGTTACTGAGGGTTGGTGGCAGGGATTATGATATTTACACAGCTAATTTAACACAGCTATAGTCAAAGTAAAAACAAAGTATTTGGGGGAGAGAGGACACATCGACACCGGCAGTATAGGATTCCTCTAGCCTATCTTAGTTGAGCTGGACCTGGAGGGAGACTAGGAATTACAGGTAATGGTGATGAGGAGAGAGGGCATTTTAGATGTGTGGAGAAACGCAAATGTGGGAGATTGAATGTTGTGTTTAGAGAATGGCAGGTAAGCCAATTTAACTGCAACTCTGTAGGAAAATAATCTGAAATCAGCATAGTTGGGAAAAATAGATTGGAACCAGATTGCCGAGGACTTAAATTCGAAACAGAGGAGTCCATTATATTTCCCTAGAGGTCATCGATTTTTCAAAATTAAAGAAATTAGGAAGGAAAGCAGCATTTTATTAAGCATCTACTTATGTGCCATGCTAAGTACTTTACAAGTATCATATCATTTGAGCCTCATAATAATCTTAGAAGTTAGGTGATTGGATTATGTGCCTTTTACAAATGAGGAAATCGAGGCCTGAAGTGATTAAATGACTTGCCTAGGCAAGTGTGGAGAACCTGTGGCCTTGAGGCCACATATGGCCTCTAGGTCCTCAAGTGCAGCCCTTTAACTGAATCCAAACAGTCAGAGGGCCTTTATCGAGGACTTAGAGGGCTGCATGTAGCCTTGAGGCAGTAGGTTCCCCACCCCTGGTAGGGTCACACGTTTAGTAAATGTCTGAGGCCAGATTTACCTGACTCCAGCCCAGCTGTGTTCTATCTATCATGCCACCTAACTGCCTCTGGAGAAAGGCAGAAGTCCTCAGTCCATCAATGAATCAGTTCATCAACAGACATTTACTTTGTAGATAGAATCTACTGTTGTTTGTTCCATCGGATTTATGATTATGTAATATAATATGATTATAAAATGTAATATAATAACACCAAAGAATTTTTTTTTGTCTTCCTAATTGGGAGAACCATAGCGCGGTGGTTAGAGTACCAGACTTGGTGTCCGAAAGCCTAGTTCAAATTCTGCTTCTAATGTTTTATAGCTTTGTGGCCTTATTCAAGTCACTGAACTTGTGTGTGCTGCATTCACCGCCTTAGGACTTATCTATGATGCATAGGTGAGTTGTGCTCTCTTCTGGTGAAGGGAGTTCCTGTACTGGTAGTTCTACGTACTAATGAAATGATGTAGCCTTTGGTGAGTTTAACACATATTGGTAGTACATGAAATGATAAGACAATAGTTGATAGTATTTTCCACATTGGGCAGATAGAGAAACTGACTATTCAGGTTGCTATATGGATTGGATGATTGGTGAAAGAGGCAGAATTCAGGACTAGGTTGCTTAATGTACAATGTTGCCACGGCGTGTTTATCAATGTAAAAGATTTCAAATCATCAAAGATACGTCATATGCGTGCTCCGTGTGATGTATGATGCTAATCGCCAAGGATACAAATACAAAAACAGCAAATGGTCCCTTATATTCTACTGGGAGATCCAGTATAAACAAATAAGTGAACCTTTCCATCTACTTTTCCAGTCTTATAGTCTTTTTTGTTGTTGATTTTTGCTTTTTGGTGCAGTAATCAGGGTTAAGTGACTTGCCCAGGGTCATGCAGCTAGTTAAATGTCAAATGTCTGAAGGTCACATTTGAACTCAAGTCCTCCTGACTCCAAGGCCAGAGCTCTATCCCCTGTGCCACCTAGCTGCTACATCTTCCTCCCCACCTAGTAATCTGTGATCCAGTAACATTGGCCTTCTTACTGTTCCTCACACACTACACTCGGGCATCTTTACTGTCTGTCCCCAAGCCTGGATCCCTTTTTCCCCTCATCTCCATCACCTGTCTTCCTTGTAATCTCTGCTAAGGTGCCACCTTCTGCAAGAAGCCTTTGCTATCCTCCTTAATCTTATGGCCTTTGCTCTGACACTACCTGCAATCTATCCTGTTTATATCGCTGTACAGAGTTTTTGTGTGTTGCATCCCCATTGCACTGCGAACGTCTTGAGAGCAGGGACTTTTTTTGCTTACTTGGTGTTTTTTTGTGCCTTTTCTTCACATCCCAAACACTTAGCACAGCGCCTGGTATGTATTGTTGCTATATTTCAGTCCTGTCTGACTCTTTGTGCCTGGCACACAGCAGGTGCTTCATAAATGCTTGTTGACTTGATTTGAAGTACATACAAAATAACCTGAGGGAGCCAAGTATGAATAACTTGGCACCAGAACTGAGCCTTGAAGGAAGCTAAGAGTTGTAAGAAGTGGTAAAGACAGAATTCATTCCCCGTAGGATGTTGTTCAGTCATTTTCCAGCTGTGTTTGACTTTTTGTAACCCAATTTGGGGTTTTCTTGGCAGAAATTTTGGAGTGGTTTGCCATTTCCTTCTCCCGCTCATTTGAAAGATGAGGAAGCTGAGGCAAACAGGGTTCAGTGACTTGCCCAGGGTCACACAGCTTATAGGTAGGTGTCTGCAGCCGGATTTGAACTCAGAAAGATGAGTCTTCCTGACTCCAGGCCCAGCACTCTGTCCACTACAACACCTTGCTGTTTCAGTAAGATGTAATCCTGTGCTAAGCATGTGGAGGCAAGAGATGGAAAGCTAAGTTGATGGAATCAAAAGTAGGCCGGTGTTATTGTAATACAGTGTATGTGACAGGGAGAACATGTGTGAACTGAGTCTGTAAAGGTAGGCTAGTGCCAGATGATGAAAAGTTTTAGGTGCTTTATAAAGGACCACTAAAGATTTTTTGAGCAGGAAAATGATGTGATGACATCTGTTTTAGGAAGATTATTTTGGGAGTTTTATAAATAATTCCTAAATAACTTAGTTTTCAACAAACTGATGCTGGGCTCATCTTTGTCTACAAATTGCAGTTCTCTCTCTTCTCTTTCGACTTCAGATTCCTGGATCATGCTTTTGATACATACAGTGGGACTTTCCTTAAGGTCTCCTCTCTTCTGGTTCTTCTTGATGTCTGTTTCTGACCTCTCCATATCCCAGGAACTGGTTCAGATTCATGGTAATCTCACTAGATGATGTCTCTTGGTTTTGCTTTGCCTTCTGGCAGTCAAGATCACTCCTTATCCTGAATGATTTCTCCCACTATCATGCCACTGCATGCCTGCCATGTTTGCTCCATCAATACCTCTGAGACCTCTATCCAATTTATTGACACATTTCTTGTTTTTCATTCAGGAGAGTTCTCATAATAACTCCTTTCTCTTCATACTCATAGCTTTCATTCAAGATCATCATTGGGTATTTCAAAATTGTTCGACTAGCTGCTTCTAGATACCTGACTCCCTTCACTTCCTTCTAGTTATATGCCTTTGTCTTCCTTTAAAGTAAACTAGGCCAGTGTCCAGTTATCTTATCCCTGGATCAGAGCCTTCTCTTGAACTTGCATCAACCCATAAGTCTTTCTTCTTCTCCTTCTCCTCCTCTTGCTTTCCCTCCTCCTTCCTCCTCCTTCCTTCTTCTTTCGTCCTTCCTCCTCCTCCTCCTTCTTCTTCCTCTTCCTCCTCCTTCCTCTTCCTCCTTTTCCTCTTCTTCCTCCTCCTCCTCCTCCTTCTTTTCCTCGCCACCACCACAATGGGTTTAAGTGACTTGCTCAGGGTCGCACAGCTACTTAAGGAGTCTTCCTTCTTTCCTTTGCTTTTTCCTTCCCTTTCTCTAATTGCTTTTGTACTTTGTGAATCCATCTTTGACCAATTTTGTCAAACAAATCCAACATTTATTAAGCACCTGTTGTGTGAAGAGCAAGAGTGGATGGCAGAGAGAGGCTTAGAGCAATTCTTGGTGTTAAGAGGAGCTTGGTTTAAGCTTTGTCTTTGACATGTGGGCAAGTGACTCAACCTCTTGGCTCTTCTAGGCAATTCTCTAAGACCATCATTTCTCAAGGGGTCGATGATTTGCATTGGTGGAGGGAACTTCTTCTCTGGGTATTCCCTATAGCAGTGAAATCACAAGTCTAGTACCACCCCTCCTCTTCTCTCTGCCTGACATACAGAACATTGTGCTATGGAAGGTTATACAGACTAAATAAAAAGTGATTCTTCACCTCATGGAGTTTAAAATCTTATAGGGCATATTGTACATAAAATACATATTATATATAATATGTACATGCCTGCAAGGCATAATTTAAATCATAGCCTGGGAGAATTGGAAGGGAGACTTAACAGAAATCTTTTAAAATTCACTTAAAAGAGTGGAACATTTTAAAAGTCTGAACATTCAATTATGACCTCTTTCTATTATTACTTAATATCGTTGTAATTCTCTCCAGCTATAATGTTTATGTTAGTAGTTTATTTAAAGGATTGACTACACAGAGGTGTCAAATTGTAGCCTGAGGGCCACAAGCAACTGGCAAAGCTCCCAAGTGCAGCAGAATCAGATTAAAATGTAATTGGGAAATGTTTAACAAAATAAATAAAAATACAACACAATATAGATAATATTAATTTGTGTTTTCCTAAGTTAATATGTGGCCCACAGGGATCCTTCCTATTTGAATTTGACAGTGTCAGACAATTCTTTCACATATGTATGTCTGTGTTTTGTGTGTGTGTGTCCGTGGCAGGCAGGCAGGTCTGGTTTGGATTATAGGTAGGGAGTTTAAATGTAGAGTGTGATGCAAACCATATCTCCAAATAATTAATCCCTATGTATAGGCAAATGCTATTTGATATTTCATTTCAGTCCAATGTTTAATTGCTATTATGAATTAATCCCTTTTATTTTAAATGCTTAAATCATTTGTGGCTTAGTGGCTAAAGAGCTGACTTTTTAGCCAAGAAGACCTGGGTCCAGGTCTTGCCCCTGACACATACTAGGTGGGCCTTGGGCCAGTGCCTTGACCCCTTACTGCTCCAGGCACTCTCTAAGATTTTCAGGTGTAGGGAAGGTGCTTCTCTATTTTGGCAGATGGGGTTTCCTCAAGTGGGAATTTCCTATCATAGTGAAATCATTAATCTAGTTCCTATCCTATCCTTGTATCTTTTAAATGCATTTCCATGTTCTCTATTTAGCATGAATATAAGAAGGTATTTGAAGAAAGCAAAGGAAGTTATCATTTTGAAACGGACACAGCTGAGCACCTCCATCATAAAGGCAACACAGCGCTCCAGAGTCAGGTATGGATTTAATAGGATATTTCTTTACCATATTGAGAGGGATTTCCCCAGACTGGCAACGACTCCATCAAGAGAAAACAAAAACATATAGTAAAGACTTTCTGATGTTAGGATGGATTTTGAAGTAACAGATAACTCTTTTGAAAACCTCAAATGGCATTTTCTAGACTCAGTTTTTGTAAATAGTTGGGGCTCCTTGAAAATCTATGGTTCAACATAGAACTTCAATCTGTGGAATAAGGTAGTTAACATTGATTTGTAATTTTGAGCTTTAAAATTATTTTGGTAGGAGAAAGGGCTTATTAAAATTTTTTCAGTTCAGTTGCTTAGTAGTATTGAGAAAACATCATCTAATTAAAACACCATGAAATGTAAACAGCTAGTCTGTTCTTACTCAGTTTCCTTATATGTAAAATGTAGGATTTGGACTGGTGTCCTATGATGTCTCTTCCAGTTTTGCTTCTCATCCCATGTGTATGCAAGAGGAATAAATCTCTCTTTACATGGGATTCATGTTTCTACTCAAAACTCTTCTTGAAACCTGGGAGCACAAAACAATGTGCCTTTGTGAATGTACCAGAGGAGACATTTTCCATTTCCCTCCCAGATTTTCTTCTTGAGCCATGCTTGTGTCTAGTGAGAGAAATCCCTTTTCCAGAGATGCTGTGGGGTTCAAGAGCTTGCTCTTGGGGAAAGGTATCATGGAAACTTCTGGATATCTATTCAGTGTGGCTTCCAGCCCCTTCCTTGGCACATTTCTGCAATAACTGTTTTGGGAAAATCTGTGAGCAGGGCAGCTTCTGCAGAGAATGACTATTTTTGCATGAGATCTTGTGTAAACCTGTCTCAGTTTATATTTAAGATCGCCCTAAATTTAGAGAATTGAGATAGAGCATTATTAAGAATGTTATGTTGTCTCTGTGACATATTCTCTTTCTTTTCTCCCCTCCCCACAATGACATCAGGGTAGAGAATTAGGTTCATGTTTTCTTCCCTGTTATGTGATTTACTGATGTACTATTTACTAAAGTTCAGTGTGACCTAGAGGTTACATTCATTCATGTTATTTATGCTGGCAATGGGTTCTTTTGGATATGTCATAATACACAATTGTTTCTCATGTCAAATCTTAAAAAAACCCAATACGATAAATTAATTCTTCCCTTGATACACTATCTGATATATACTTTCCTGAAAATGTCATATCACTTTCTCTTGGGGTTTGGGGTAGGGATAGAAGACATTTTTATTTTTGCACAAATAAAGGACTTCTTAAATAATTAGAATTACTATAACTAGATTTTATTTTAAAAAGATGATTCATTTTCAGTGCATGTTAATTTAATGCTTACCCAACATATTAACATTTTTTTGTTAATGCCATTCTGTACTTTTATTAGAGGGGCAGTATGGTGTAATAGAGGGACGCTGTTCCATGAGGGCAGGATCTGAGTTTCAGTTCCCTATTTCACACCCTCTCCTCATTCCCCCCCTGCTGTGTGACCCTGGGCAAATCATATAACCTCCATGGGCTTTTGTTATTTCAATCACAAAATAAGGATGCAAATATCTAACCTTCTTGAAACCAGGAGTCTGGATTAGACAGGGAATATGTTACAGCCTTATGATCTATAATTTTATGCTTTGCTTAATCTTTCAGATTCCTTTCAGCTTAAGCATTCTATGAATCTAAGAATGAGGGCAACTATCTAATAGTTTTAAAGATGTACTATGGCCCAAATTAATTTGTTCTATTCCTATATAATTTTTTTCCATATCAAAAGTTTCTTATTTTCTTTATTAGTTTTTATATCATATTTTATTTTTTCCTAGTTACATGTAAAAAAATTTTTTTTGGCTAGGCAATGGGGTTAAGTGACTTGCCCAGGGTCACACAACTAGTAAGTGTTATGTGTCTGAGGTCAGATTTGAACTCAGGTCCTCCTGAATCCAGGGCTGGTGCTCTATCTACTGCACCACCTACCTGCCCTTAAAAATAATTTTAACATCCATTTTTAAAAACAGTTGAGTTTCAAATTTTCTTCCTCCCTCCCCTCCCCTAAGACAGTAAACAGTTTGATATAGATTATATGTGTGCAATCTTCCCATATAATTTATGAACAATCTTTTTTTAAAATGAAGAGGTTTTCTTATAGTTTGTAATGGAAACTTTTTAACAATCTAGGTGAGGTACAAAGAAGAGTATGAAAAAGCTAAAGGCAAGTCGATGCTTGAATTTGTGGACACTCCATCTTATCAGGCTTCAAAGGAGGCTCAAAAAATGCAAAGTGAGGTTGGTATTTTTTTTGTTTGTTTGATTGGGGTGCATGATCCTTAGGTTGCTCATTTATTGTGATGTTCAGAGTAATCTCTGACAGGTCTTAGCAAGCTAAAAAGTCTTCCCCCTCCACACCTGGGAATGGACAACATGTTGCTCATCTGAGGACCAGTACAGCCAACCTCAGGTGGATCAGGGTGATGAATTTTTCAGCAGGAGCAGCTCTCAAAGACTATCTGTTAAGTTGCAGAAGGGGTATTTTCTTCATTATGGGAGGGAAAACACAGAGATGAAATCACTGCTCATTGAAATGTAGAAATACTAAGGAAGGGCTCTTTATGCAATTACAGGTTGCATGGCCCGAGTCAGGAAGACCAGTATTCAAGTCCTGCTTCTAGCACACACTTACTTACTTTGTGACCCTAGGGAAATCATTAACATCTATGTGCCCCAGGCACTTTCATAAATTCTAAGTTGTAGCACAAGTGCTACTGTGGCTTGATAGAGGAAATTTCCTTACCTGAAGTTCCCTAGGCCAGAGGTTATCAGAGTGTGGTCCTGGGACTATTGGGGTCCTGTGAGTCTTCTGGATGGTCCCTGAGGTCAAAACTATTTTCATAATAATACTAAAACATTTTACTTTCTAATTCAGTACATTTCAATAGATGTAACTCACATAAACAAAAGCTCTTTGGCGACTCCTTAAAAAAAGTTTGAAAATTGCTGCTCCAGATCAGTGAAATCACAGGTCCAGTCCAAAAAGAAACAAACCTCTCTGCAATGATTATATAACAAAGAAAGCATAGTCAATCTATTGGCTACTTTATTTGTATACCAAATAACAATATTGACCAAATAAAGATTTGCCAAAGGCATGTAAACTGACTTTTTATTTTAACTGAATTCACAAAAGCAACAACTTTTCAACATTGTATAGATATAGTGAAGCAGTCAGAGGTCTTAATTCTTGGGGGAAATGATTGCAATTAAATGATTATAGGAAACATTTTATATAGTAGATATAGCATGGTGGGTGGATTGAGTGAATTAGATTCCAGAAGACGTCTGTTCCTGTCCTGTTTCCAACACACGCCCAACTACTGTTATGACCATGGGCAGGTCATTTAAACTATGAAGTGCCTCAGGCAACTCCCTATAAGTTTGTATAATTGTATCTGCAGAAGGAGCTTCTACACTGGAAGTTCCCCACACTAGTGAAATAATTCTCTCCCTGCCCTTAACTATTTCTGTAATGGCACCTCTACCAGACAAAGAGCAAAGCATGCATATAAACCTTATTCAGTGAATTATTCTGGAAAGAGTGAGTTCAAGGTCTCATTGTACCTGCATGGACTGCGGTGTTCTTGTTACTGGCACTATAGCTCCCCTGCCCTTGTCGCTAACCCACCCAAAAGGGGATTTTGGGAAGATCTAAGGACAAGGAGAAGTGGAAGATCTATGAGTTAATCTGCAAACTAACATTTCAAACAGCAGTGACAAGTGGTAAATCTTGAAACACCAGTGACCGAAGGGTAATTTATTAGCACTTCAGGACTTATTGCATGTCTCCCTTTCCCTTTCTTCTTCTCTTTTCCCTCTCTGTCTGTCTTTTTCATTTCCTTGGTATCTGTCATCTTCTCTCTTCCATCCATTGACCTTCTTTGCTATTTCTTCTCTTCCCCTTCTTTTTCTCTTTCCTCCCTTCATTTTCCCTCCTCCTCCTAATGCCTCGAAATTAAACCACAAACCAATTTAACTAAGTTGTTTTACTTCCGTGTGATTCTGAATTGATTTGTGGGTCAAGGGCATTCAATGGAAATTCAACAGTAAATAGATTCCCCATTCCTAAATGATGCCATCTGGAAGTATTCATGTGAATATTTTGTTCTTTCCTGCCTTAAAACATGAAATGACTTTTAACAGCTGATAAACATTTATCAAGCACCAACCATGTGCTCAATCCTAGGGACAAAGAAAGGCAAAGGAAAGGCCCTGCCCACAAGGAGCTCACAGTCTAATGGGGAAGATGGCACGCAGACAACTTTGTATAAACACTGGGACAGAGGAAGGAACTAGAATGAAGGGAAATTGGGACAGCTTTCTGGTAGAAGGAGGGATTTTAGATAAGAGTTGGAAGAAGCCAGGGTAAGTAGAAAATGCCCAGCGTTTGGGAGATGTTGTGTCTTATGTAAGAAGACCTGAAAGGGGAGAGTGTGTGTGTGTGTGTGTGTGTGTGTGTACACACACATAAACATACTTAAATATATGCATATACGTACCTACAAAGAGGAAGGAAGGGAAGGAGAAGGGAAGGAGTGGAGGGAGAGTCAGACAGACACTCTTTGAATACCAGAAGATGTTTAGCTCTTAGAATTGTCAGCTTGGTTTGGTTGTACGCATACTTTCCTGCCTAACACTGGAAAATTTCCTTTAAACTTCATTTTGCTGTTAACTATATCTGTGTCTAAACCAAACAGACAACACATCCTGATCGTTAAAGAGCGAACAATTCCATTAATTTCCTGGTTTGTCTGTGTGATAACCTACATACACCTGGTGTACTTTCTAAAATCTTAATTGATTGGGTGTTTGGGATCAGCAGAATCAGTCTTAGCGACCCTGTGCTCAGCTGTGAGGATGACCTCTATTTCTCCTTGACTACTTCTCTTCACTGGCAGCTTCTGCACAGGATTTATTACCCTCAGAGGAATTGATTTAATTCTTGGGCTCCATGGGCCTTTGCTTAATATCGACTTTCCATTTGTTTTTGTCTTTTTTTCCTATTCTAAAATGTAGAGTTTTTTCCTGTGGTTTAAGGAGGAAAGATCAAAGATTGGAAGTTTGGGAAGAGAGCCCTACGGTTTTTGTCACTGTTGTTTAGCTTCTAGCAATCACTGTTTTAAGCTTGCTGTGGCTTACCAGGCTTTTGAAGAGACAGATGAATGCTTGCCTATGAATAACATCCTTGGGCAGGACCTTTCCATAGTAAGGGGTATAAATACTGGATAGATAAAATTCATTTAAAAAGATCAGATATAGCTAGGAGGTGTCAGTGGTTTTCACTAGTAGTGAGATCAAGAGAGACAAACAACATGATGGTTCTGGACTAAGTCTCCTTTTTAGTAACAACATTGTAAAAACTGCTCTACCTGGACCCAATACACATGCTGCTAGTCATTTACTACTGATAGTAGTACTGCCTTTCTGATTTCAGGGAAAATACGTTTAGATCAATGAATCATCCAGTTTCTACCAACTGATCTTGAATGTATTTGTTGCCAAAGCATATAAGCATCAAGGAGGAAATTACTCGTTATACTTTTTAAAAATTGAGATGCTCATTTATAGGTTTGAAAAGGGGGAAACCAAGACTTTGGATAACATCAGGATTTCTCAGAGTGGCTGTGTCCACATGGGGTCTCTGGATTACCAGTCATTTGGCTGAAGTAACCCATCAAGCTAAGCCCCCATCAAGTTCAACTGATTTCTTTTTCATGGAATTTTTAGACTTAATTGAGCAGTTGTTCTGATGTCATGCCATCATGGCTACGTGATGCTGAGTAGCCTCACTCAGGCTACTTTGCCAGGAGAAAAAGAGGGTAATGAATATTTTTCATTTTGCTTTTCACCCTAGTTCAACAGTGAAATTAATCATGGGAGGCAGTAATCAAAAATCTTAGCAGAAGCTTGAAACTGTCTTGTTGATGAAAGGGCCCTGAGTTAGGAGAAGTATGGCAATGACCAGCTGATTTGTTCCTTGACGTATTTTCAATAGCTATTAGTATTTCATAAACTAAGGGTGGGTATTCTGTCTTCTGAAACAGAAAATTTACCGAAAGGATTTTGAAAAAGCAATCAAAGGAAGGCCATCACTGGATTTAGACAAGACTCCAGAATTTTTGCATGTAAAATACGTCACAAATCTTCTTAAAGAGGTAAGGACTTTCTGGTATTTGTCTTGGTTTTACAAAAGCAAGCCTGAGCAGAAAAGAATAAAATGGCCCGGGGAATATTTCCTGGTAGTAGCTTTGTGGCCTAGTTAGTTTCTGTGATCTTGACATGGTCATGGGAAAGGATGATAAGATCACTGGATTTGGAGTCCTGGTTCTGATACTCATTGGCTACGTTGCCATAGCGATAGCATCTAACCTCTCTGATCCTCACTTTCCTCATCCGTAAAACAGAGATACTAATATTTATACTACCTCCCTCATAAGGTTTAAACCTTAAGCACTATAGAAATGAGAGTTGCTATTACTGTTCAATTTGATGGATTTTTGTTTTCTTACATCCATTTACCCTTTCTAAGTGGTGCAGTAGGTAGAGCACCAGGCCTGGAATCAGACCTGAGTTAAAATCCAACCTCAGAAAAAAAAATAGTTGTTGTGAGGATCAGATGAGATTGTATATGTCACTTAGCACATAGTAGGGGCTATATAAATGTTCTTTTGTTTTGTTCATATCACCCAGTGTCCTATATTTAGCCCTTTTAATTTCATTGAACCCTAAATGTTGCTAGTCTAATCTTTCTGCTTTGACATTTTCATACCTTGACCTGAAGAAAAATGCGATACTTGTTTTTCTTTTATCTACCATATAGCTAAAACCATAATTCTGAGCTTTCCAATGTTATTTATATCTGGTACAGATAGTGAAATGTATAATGAGCTGGGCCTGGAGTTGAAAAGGAAGAGAACAGATTGGATTGCTTTTGGGAAGCTGCAGAATTGTTTAATTGACCTGAGGCTTCCCATGAAAGCAAAGGCTCATCTTTTCAGTGCTAACATTTTAGTGGTGTTACTTTAGGTAAAGAATGGATTACCACTGCATCTGAAGAAATAATGATGAGTTTTGCACAGAAGGCAATGAGGAGGCTCATGCTGAATAGGAAGAGGTTGTACTCCATAACCAGGGAGGAGCTATGAGGAACCAGGAGTAAAGAATATGTCATCACGGAATTATATGACAGGAAGAGAAGATGAGCTGGTCATACGGCAAGAGCAAGGGATGAGAGGTAGACTGAGTGTTCCACTGGTATCCTAGAGAGTTTAGGAAAAGTGGGACATATTGCCAGCATGGTGGGTGGAACCCCTGTTGTAAAATTTGGGGAAGACGTGACCGAAAGTCTAACTGGTTGGACTGACATGGATAGCTGCATGCTTTGTACAGAACTCCCAAACCAGCGAGATCACAGGTCCATTGAGATATTAAATGTCATCGTCATCATCATTCTCATCATCAGCACCAAGGAATATTTCTGTAGCACTTTAAGGTTTGCAGAGTGCTTATGTATGTTATCTTGTTTGAACTCTGTGACGACTCTTGAGGAATGTACAGTTGTTATCCTCATTTTACCCATGGGGAAACTGAGACTGATAGAGGTTTTCTAATGTAAGAGGTATCATGACATGGTAGATAAAGTGGTGGACAGGAAGTGTAGGAACGCCTAGGTTCATATCCTGCCTCAGTCACTGCTTTTAAAATATTTTTATCATTGGCTTTGGAGTCAGGAGGACCTGATTTCAAATCTGGCCTCAGGCACTGACTAGCTGTGTGACCCTGGACAAGTCACTTAAACCCTGATTGCCTCCAAAAAGAAAACACTTTGATGATGTATCTTGGGGGAAAAGTAGCATGACGAAGCACCCAAGAAGAAGGGTACAGGTTATATATAGCTTGAGCAGTAGTTAAAATAGCGGTAAACACAAGGCATTGAGTGTTTAAAGTCTACATTAGTAGTTATCTATTTACCTTAAAGTAAATATGTTGCTTTTTAGCAGATTGGAACTTAACATTCAAATTGAAGATCATGAATAAGAAATGGCCCATTTTCCAAAGAGAAATTATTATTTTTATTTCACGTACTTTCTTTTTTATGACTTGTTTTGTCTCTTAAAAGTTTTATAAGCAGTTTAAAAATTTTAAATGTGTTGAAGTGTTGATAGAGGAGCTTAGCTCTTTCAAGTGTATTCTCTTGTTAAGAGGGCTTATGTTTTTGGAATCATGCTCTGATTTCTGCCTTTCATTTGTATTTCTATAACATTGTCTCAGTTGAAATGGTGTACTCACAAATGGGAAAGTCGTGTGAACTACCCATAATGTGCAAACATTTTGTGTTCTTAGAAGGAATAGAAGTGCTAATATAACTTAAGCCCATTATAGGAAATAGTCTAAATTTTTCTTTTGACATTCTTAGCATCTTTCTTTTAAAATTCATTGCTTATTATTACTGAAGTGTTCGTTCAAAGTTACCAAAATACTATGGGATGATTGTTATTATTATAGTAGAATCTAACTTTAATGTCCAAGAAGATCATGAGAGAAATGAAAGAAAAAGATTTATTCTACCAAATGAAAAATAGCCTAGGTTATTCCAAAACTGCAGAATGGACGTTCTTTCAGGTTTAAGACTGTATTTGGAATATGTATCAGTTGTAATTTTATACATCTGATCAGTTGTCATGATCTTGAAATTGACGTGAATTATTTAAGGTGAAGATACTGTTAAAAGAAACTTTCTTAAACCAGTGAAATGTAATACAAATGCTTGCTCATCTATATTGGCAATTTTATCAGCACAAACTTCTAAAAAACAAGAGCTTGCCAAATTTGCATTTGCTATTTAGTAAAAAGCTAAATGTTATCACTATAACTGTGTGTGCAACTACATGCACAATTTATTAAGGGGACCCTTTTTCTACCCGGCCCCCTTTCATTCTTCCTAATCCTTGGGGGATTTTTGAAAATGTATGCCTCATGATAATAGGGACAACACGGATAGGTGACAAGCAGCCTATTCTATGTTGGCCCTGGGGCATCTCTGGAGAGGTTTTCATTTCTCATACTTTCGGTCCTATTGGCAATTCCCTCTCTCCCCATTTTGAAAAAGGCATTTTGAGAAGAGATTCCTCCCTTCTCTTCCTTCCCCCTTCTCCACTGGATCTGGACTGAAAGCTAAACACCAATTCTGTTTATTATTGACCTTTATCAATAGGAAGCAGTCACAGACATTAAGTGTTTACTATATAAGGCATTACACTAGACCAGAGGTTCTTAAACTTTTTGATATCAGGACCCCCTAGACACTGTTAAAAATTATTAAGGACTCCAGAGAACCTTTGTTTCTGTGGGTTATATCTACCAATATTTATCATATTAGAAATTAAAACATCTTAGTATTATTGTGAAATAGTTTTGACCATAGGGATCCCCTTAACTCCATGCCTTCCCCCAAAATCTCAGGGGCTCCCAGAGTCCTCGGACCCAGAGGTCCTTTGAGAACCTCTGTGTGTTAGACATTAGGGAAAGGCGATAGGAAGATTAAAAAAAAAAGAAACACAAGCACTTTCAGTTCAATTAACCTGAGAAGCATAGAATCAACTAGCAGAGACAGGGGGTGTAATAGGCTAAATGTAATAGAAAACATGAGTGTTCTAAGTGCATAAGAGAAATCTAAATACAGTGCTATGAGAATCCAAGGTAGAGAGAATGATATTATTTTGTGGTGATTAGGGAAAGTCTCACAGTTTTTGAAAGTATCTCTTATACCATTGATAAGATTTCGACAGGCAGAGGGATGTGGGCATTGTAGTTGTAGGGGATAGTAACTATGGTATGGGGATTTTTTGGGGGGGATGTGGGGGGACGGCATTTAATAAATAATCTGCTTTTGTTAGATTTGAAGGGTATGAGATGGTAAATGAAGGCAGAAAAACAAAAGGAGGAAAATAGGTTGGAGAGAAATTTTAGAGGGCTTTGAATGCAAGGCTAATGCATTTGTTGTATATTTGGTAGGATGTAGGTAGCAAGATTTTTGAGCACTGAAATTATCTGATCAGGTTTTTACATTAGGAAATCTTGCTGTGATGTATAGCATTGTGTAGAGGAGCTTCAGAGTGGGAGCTGGTAGACTGGATAGAAAGTTGGTGCGATAGTACACGAAAGACACTGATTTTTTTTTTTTTAGTGTAAATGGAAGGGGAGGTGATAGATGCTGTAGATACTGTGCAGGTAGGGTTGCTAGGACTTCTCAATGGATTGGATATTGGTGATAAAAGAGAGGCAAAAATCTGGTGACTTTGAAGTTTTAACCATGGATAGTTACAGAAAAAAGGCAAGGAGAGGAGCAAATTTCTAGCAAAAAAGAATGAGTTCAGTTTGGGACATGTTGAATTGTAGGTTCTGGCAGGTCATCCAGGTGGATTTGCCCACTAGGTAGACAGAAATGTAAATGGATCTCAGGGGAGAGGTTGAGGCTGAAGATATACAGATGAGTCATCTACAGAAATGTGATAGTTGAAACCAGGTGACTAGACAAGGTTGCTGGACAAGGTTTTATCCAGGGAAGGCAATGTTTCAGAGCTAGGAAGTTAAAAAGAGGTCAAGGATGATAAGGAAGTTTGCTTATTTGAAATTTTAAAATAGGGCTTATTGAAAAATGCACAGAATAAAATCCTGTGCATTCTCAAGCTCCTGCATGACCCCCAAATGACTTGAAAGTCAAACATTCTTTACCATTACCAAACCCATCCCACATTCTGACTTTGATGTGTGTGTGGGTATGCCCCCTGCTAATGCTGATTATGACTCCTTTCTGATTCCTCATGAGTTGCTGAGTTGACAACAGCAGTACTCATTGGCTAGCCCTTTCGTGATGAGTCTTTCTAAACTGAGCTAAGCTGGTCCTTGGATGACAGAAATAAATATGACCATTTTTTTAGGCTTTTATCTGAATGCTTTCCAACTTCTTAGAACCTACTGGAGCTTACACTCTGGGGAGTAGCTTTGAATAACCTAAAGTGCAACCGTGCTGTAATGGCATTAAGTGAATCTGATTTTAGCCATATGGTTTCAGGTCCTACCTATTTCTTAGAATTTCCATTTAATTATATGAGAATTTTATGAAAAAAATTCAGAAAGTTAGGATATCAAAAATGATCTTTTAACTAAATTACAAAGCTGCTAGTTTCTTTTCTTTCACAAAGGAAATCTTAATCATTTAGTGAAATGGAAGTGAAAGATCTTTCAAAGTCTTGGCACTTAGGTCTAAATTAACTTTGCATTTATTGATTTCTCTGGCTCTTCCACTGAAAATAAATGAATACAAACTCAGTAGTGTAATATCTGGCAGGACATTAGCTAAGTTGAATACCACTTAATATCTCAGTACATTGAACTGAAGATGGGACTAAGGGAGAAAATGAATCATTCACTTAACTGGAACATAAATTCTGATCATGAAAGGAAGTCTTAGATTGCATTTGAAAATTCAGTATTTTACAATATTGATGTTACTAAAGTATAATTGGGGACAAAATTTTGTTCTTTCTAAATTGAATTTGCAAAAATATCCAGCTCTATCGAAGTCCATTTCTGTTTATAGAAATAACCTCACTCATTCAGATAGAATGAAGATATTTTAATTGTTTTAACATCACTCTATAAATCAAGGTATAAGAAGTGATAGGTTTTTCAAAGAGGATAGAAACATTCAGTGGCTAAAATGAATCCATACTTTATTTTTTTAAAACTTGGGATACATTATATCTTTTGCGTTGTAATTTTTCATTCTTTTTCAGCTATGTACTTCAGGTGATTCATATTTTATAGAGGGTTTTCAAAGAAACAGTTCAAATAATTAATAAGAAGCATATCTTCCTAAGATCTCATGCACCGTTTAAAGTGGAGACATCTTTTTTTTATCACTGACTATGGGACATAAAAAATTGGGAGAAGGGATGAAAGGATAAAGATTGACAGTACTGAAGAATCTTCTGGACTTGATTAGACTGGAAAATGCAGTCCAGAAATGAAATAAGGAACATTAACACTAGTCAGTCTGAATTACTCCACCACATTTTTCTTTTCACAGTGTACCCTATAAAAAAAGGTTTAAAGTATTCCATCATTTAAAATGATATTTCCTGTCTTGAAACTGAACATTCTTTTCCTACAGAAAGAATATAGAAAGGACCTGGAAAATGAAATAAAGGGGAAAGGAATGGAACTTAGTTCAGAGATCCCTGACATTCAGAGAGCAAAAAGAGCATCTGAAATGGCAAGTGAGGTTTGTATACCACATTTACTGAAATGTTTCCATTTTTACCTCTTTATTTGAACTTGTTGTTGAAATGTTGGCTATAGAAACTGACTTTTTAGGATAGAAGATAATTTAAAATATTTCCATTGTGTATTTGCATATTATTTATTATATTTATTATATTATATACTGTGTTTATTTATAGCATTATTTCCCTACCCATAATTATGCTACCAAAATATAGAATATATTTTTCTGATGTAATGGCCCTGGAGGAGCTATGTTAAGCTAGTATGTGTCAAAGGCAGGGTTTGAACCCGGGTTTTCTTGACTTTCAAGTCCAGTGCTCAAATACATGCTACTGGTGTTAAACTCTGATGGAAATAGGGACAAGTAAACTGTATATTACAATCCCTCTGGGCTACGTACTGACTTAGAAAACTGCCTATTAATACCACCTGTTCTACTGTATTTATATTTATTTAGTTTAATATTATTAATGTAATAATTATCATACCAATGTAATAATATTAAAATTATTAATAAATATAATAAAATTACATTTTAATCTGGTTCAGCCCATGTTTGACATGACCACTACACCATCATGTTTCTAATAGATCTCGAATCTCAGTTTTACTCCTCTCTTTATCTCATGCCTTGGCTCATCCCCTGATAATGACTTAGGAAAAGAATTTAAAGGGTTCTATTACTGAGAATTAAATAGGTAGAGAAGAGTAAGGCATTTTTGTAAATGCCCCCAAACTTCTCTTTGATATAAAAGCCCATCTTCTTAATACTAATACTCTTCTTGTAACATTGAATGGTTTTAAGTCATGAAATTAAAGTTTGCAAAGAATTGAAGCTGGGGATTATCTAGTTGGTAATGGGAGAAGATCATTGTGGATGTGAACCCATATTAAAATGAGGAATTACACTGGAGAAATGGTGTAAAGGATGTCATTAGAGGAATGTATGGCCAGGAAAAATAAGGTATGAGTATATTCTGAGCATCACTGTAATTACACATTGCAGCCTGTGGAAAGGGACACAGGCAGTCAATGGAATGTTCTGTTTGAGGAAGTGAATATTGGTCAATCTGGACCTGGACTAGCGAGAGTATGAAAAAGAGTATAGGAAGGAAGCCTGGGAAGGCAGGCTGATTGTGAAGGGCTTTACTTCAAGGTCCCTTGAGATGGAGGCACTAGTGCAAGAAGGGTACGTTGGCCCCAGTGGCAGGGGTGAAGAAGGGCTCATCCTGGCCTCGTTGGGAATCAAGGGTGTGGCCATTCTTGTACTTCCTGAAAATTAAGTTCTGGCATCAGCAACTAACTTTCCACTTAGGATTCTGACATCAGTATGATGGCAGTGTACTCCAAAGAGTTGTGAAGATTTGTTGTCATGATCCATGGTGTAGATGAATTGTGTGGTTTAAAAAATATATCATTTTTCTCAATTTCTAAGATGGTTCTCTTCCTGAGATATGCATGATATAAATGTTATCTGAGTGTTTAAAATATTATTCCCCCACAGAAGGAATACAAGAAAGATCTAGAAACTGAAATTAAAGGGAGAGGAATGCAAATTGGCACAGATGCCCTTGACATACAACGAGCCAAAAAAGCTTCGGAAATCTCAAGCCAGGTTAGTATAGTGAATAATCATGGCTATGGACTTCATCTTTTTGGACCGACCAATTAATGGCCAAGTTTTCAAAGGGTAAAATTCCCCAAGAGTTTATTTTTTAAAATTATTTTTTATTATTTCATTATTTCCCAATTGTATGTAATTTTTTAAGCAATAATTAAAAAATTTGAATTTCAGATTCTTTCCCTTCCTCCCATATTCTCTGTTACTTGAGAAGGCTATCACTTTGATTTCAGTTATACCAAAGATATTTCCATATTAGCCATGTTGCAAAAAAAACCACCATAAATAAAATAAAACAATAAAAATAAAGTTAAAAATTATGTTCCAATCTGAATTTAGAGTTCATCAGCTCTCTCTCTGGAAGTGGATAGCATTTTTCATCATAGATCCTTGGGAATTGTCTTGGATTCTTGTCTTATCTTTCAGAGTTGATTATCCTTACAATATTGCTGTTACTATATACAATTTTCTCCTGTATTTCTTTACTTTAGTGTGCATGAATTCATACAAATCTTCCTAAGTTTCTCAGAAATCATCCTGCTTATCATTTCTTATAGCATAATAGTATCTCATTACAATCATATATTGCAACTTATTCAGCCATTCCCTAATTAATGAGCATCCCCTTGACTTCCAGTTATTTTCTACCACAAAAGATATGCTATAAATATTTTTGTACACATAGGTGCTTTTCCAATTTCTTTAATCTCTTTGGGATACAGACCCAGTAGTGGTGTTGCTGGATAAAAGGCTTTTTTTTTTACAGTTTTATGGTCCTTTTGGCATTGTTCCAAATTGTCCTCCAGAATGGTTGACCAGTTTCACAATTCCGCTAGCATGCATTGGTGTCCCAATTTTTCCATATCCCCTCCAGTATCATTTTACTTTTCTGTCATGTTAGCCAACCTGCTAGGCATGAGGTGGTATCTGAGGGCTGTTTTAATTTGCATTTCTCTCATCAGTATTGATTTAAAACATTTTTATGTGACTATTATGGGTTTTGATTTTGTCTTCTGAAAATTGCCTTTTCTTATCCTTCTACCATTTACCAACAGGGGAATGGCTCTTATTTTTATAAATTTGTCTCAGTTCCCTATTTATTTGAGAAACGAGGGCTTTGTTAGAGAAATTTGTTGCAAATCTCCCTCCCCCGTTTCCTGTTTTCCTAATTCTGACTACACTAGTTTTGTTTATGTAAAAGCTTTTAATTTCATATAATTGAAATTACCCATTTTACTTCTTGTGATACTCTCTTCTTTTGCTTGGTCATAAACTCTTCTCTTATCCATAGAACTGACAGGTACATTTTCCATAGTGCCCTAATTTACTTAAGATATCACCCTTTAAATCTAAATCATTTTTCCGTTTTGACTTTATCTTGATATATGGTGTGAGATGTTTGTCTATGCATAGTTTCTGCCAAACTGTTTTCCAATTTTCCCAATGGTTTTTGTCAAATAGTGTGTTCTTATTCCAAAAGCTGGTGTCTTTGGGTTTATCAAACGCTAGATTACTATGATCATTTACTACTGTGTCTTGTGTACCTAACCTATTCCACTGATCCACTGCTCAATTTCTTAGACAGTACCAGATAGTTTTGATGATTACCACTTTATAATACAGTTTGAAATCTGGTATGGCTAGCCATACCTTTGTTTTTATTAATTCCTTGATATTCTTGACCTTTTATTTTCCAGATGAATTTTGTTCTGATTTTTTCAAGCTCTGTAAAATAATATGTTGGTAGTTTGATTGGTGTGGCATTGAATAAGTAAATTAATTTAGTTAGAATTGTAATTTTTATTATATTGGCTGCAACTAACTACCCATGAGCAATTACTATTTTTCCAATTGTTTAGATCTGATTTTATTTGTGTAAAAATGTTTTGTAATTGTGTTCATAAAATTCCTGGGTTTATCTTAGCAGGTTGACTGCCAAATATTTTATATTGTCTAAAGGTATTTTAAAAGGAATTTCTCTTTCTATCTCTTGCTGCTGGACTTTTGTTGGTAAATGTATAGAAATGCTGATGATTCATGTGAGTTTATTTTATATGCTGCAACTTTGCTAAAGTTGTTAATTATTTCAAGTAGTTTTTTTAGTTGATTCTTTAGGATTTTCAAATATATCATCACATCATCAGCAGAGAGTGATAATTTTGTTTCATTATTTCCTATTTGAATTCCTTCAATTTCTTTTCTTTTATTGCTATAGCTAACATTTCTAGTACAATATTGGATAGTGGTGATAATGGGCATCCTTGCTTGGCCCCTGATCTTATTGGGAAGGCTTTTAGCCTATCCCCATTATTGACAGTGCTTGCTAAAGGTTTTAGATAGATACTACTTATCACTTTAAGGAAACCTCCCTTTTTTCCTATGTTTTCTAATGTTTTTAATAGGACTCAGTTTTATATTTTGTCAAAAGCATTTTTTTGCATCTTTTGAGATACTCATATTTTGTGTAGTTACTCATATCAGTTATGTTGATAGTTTTCCTAATGTTGAAGCAATCCTATGTTCCTAATATAAATCCTACCTGGTAATAGTGTATAACATTTGTGACGTATATCTGTAATCTTCTTGTTAGTATTTCATTTAAATTTTTTGCATCAGTATTCATTAAGAAAATTGGTATATAGTTTTCCTTCTCTCTTTTTGCTCTTTCTAGTTTAGGTATCAAAACCATAATTGTATCATAAGAAGAATTTGGTAGGACTCCTTATTTTCTCAGAGTTTATGTAGTATTGTGATTAATTGTTTCTTAAATGTTTGGTGGAATTCATTAATGAATCCATCAGGTCCTGGGGATTTTTTTCTTAGGGAGCTCATTAATGGCTTGTTCAATTTCTTTTTCTAAGACATAGTTAAGCATTCAATTTCTTCTATTAATCTGGGCAGTTTACATTTTTGTAAAAATCAATTTTACTTAGATTATCAGTTTTACTGGCATATCATTGGACAAGATAGCTCCTAATAATTATTTTAATTTCATCTCCATTAGTGGTGCATTCACTCTTTTCATTTTAGATGCTAATAACTTGGTTTTCTTCTTTCTTCTTTTTTTAAATTAAAAGCTTTATGCCTTTTGTTTTTCACAGAAAGAATATAAAAGAGATCTGGAGACAGAAATTAAAGGCAAAGGGATGCAGGTGGGCACTGATACTCTTGATATCCAGCGTGCTAAGAAAGCATCTGAAATGGCAAGCCAGGTAAGTAAAGGAGAAAAAAAAGAAAATTTTGTAAGTTGAATAAACCTGTACGTACTTAGCAATAAAATAGGAAATCTCAGCATTGGATCTATTCCAATGGGCTAAGTTGGTTAAACAAGTATGAGCAGAAATCGAATGTATATATCATAACAGTTATTCTTCCAAATGGACACTAACCCAAGATCTTCAAACTCCCTTCTGACCTCTTAGAAAGAATACAAGAGAGATCTGGAAAATGAAATTAAAGGGAAAGGAATGCAAGTGAGCATGGATATCCCTGATATGCTGCGAGCCAAGAGAGCGTCTGAAATTTACAGCCAGGTTGGCCAGACATGAAAGTGTTGAGTGTTACGTGTTCTAATGACCCATCTGTCTTTGTGTGTTCTCTCCCCTCCCCAACTACAAATTCCACTTCATGAACAATGATCATTCCATAATGGCCAGGAAGGCCACTTGCAATTGCTTGCATTAACATACTGGCTTAGGTCATAGGGCCAAGGGCTGGAAGGGACCTTAGAAGCCATGGAGTCCAGCTCTTTCCAACCCAAACTGGGGCCTGGAAAGGTTTGATAATTTACCCAGAATCCCACAGGCAGTAAGGAAGGAAGTGGGATTTGAGCCTGGGTCCTTTGACTCTAAAGCCAGTGTTCTTTGCAGTACCCTACTCTACCATCTACTTTCATTTCGAGTCATTGTGGGACCATATAAATAGCAGAAATTGGATTAAGGCTGAATGCTGGAGCCCCCATGGTTTTATTTGATCCCTTTGCTGTGTTTCTTTTTGTACTTTAAAAAAGTTACGTTTACCTTGTTGCTTTAATATCCATTGTTCTCATCACCGTCTTTGTTTAATTTTTAATGAAGGGGACATGATTATGGATAAACGCCATAATAACCCAGCTGGTTTGATGCTATATCTGTAGCAAATAAACTTGCTATGGTATACAATCTAGCAGAAAATAGAGGAGATAGAAATAGTGTTTCTTTCTATAAGTCCATGAGAGGTGACTTTTTAAGTAGCTTAATTGCCAGTTTCTTGTAGACAGAATATCACTAAACTGTCAGTAGACAAAATTCCAGTTTCAGTTTCTGAAACCAAAGGAAGCTGTGTCCAGAGAGAGTATCAATTCTTTACCCATTAGGTGGATGCAGGGATGGGACAAGGGTCCTCCCCAAGGCTTATGAATAACTCTCGATGAATCATTTTGGCATGTGAAAAAATAGCAGTTGACTCTATTGACATTTGCAGAGCTGAAGTCATTGGAGATTATACATTTTGAGTTTGCAGAGAAAGGTTACAACCTCAAGACAATGCTGAGTTGTACCAGATTTCTGGTTTTTACTACACTATTGATTCTTAAGGAAATTTATTCAGTTATAATTCACAATGGTACCTTGCCTTAAGCAGGTTACATCAGTGCACCTAGAGAGCTGAAATAATATTAATGATAAACATATCAGACTTTCATTTACAGTTTTATTTATTTCCATTGGTCTTGTTCTTTCTAAAACTTGTTTGTCTTATTTCTTTGACTCCTTTGGATTGCTCTCTTTACCATCTAACCACTGTCATCAATACCTGAAAGCTCTCTCTTTAAAATGGATCAAGGAATGAAGAGACATAGTGTAATTCCTGAGATGCACAAGGTTTTTTGCCTTTAAACAATTGTCTTTCCCATCTTCTCTTAAAACCTTAAGGAAGAGGACATTGGTGTCTAAAGTCATGTCATTTTCCAGCCTCATGTCCTTAAATTATCTAGAGTGATGGCTAGGTCTGAGAGACCTCACTGCTTATGATTTCAGATTTGGGGATAAAGGACAAGAATTATTCTAGAATACCTACAAGGGAACCTTGTAGGGAATACCTACCAAGGGAATACCTACAAACCCCACCCTACCAAAGATGTTTGTCCTCAGTTAGATGACCAGTGAGACTTTTTGGAGAATAAAGATGACATTAAACATGTAGACCTTTAACTTTATTTTATGACAAGAGGTGCTTTGGAATATAATGGCCACATATCAAAGTAGATTTGGGGATGTCAACATCATATTAATTTTAAATGTTTCTACTTTTTTAATAAAAGAAAAAATACAAAGGTGAAGCAGAAAAAATGCTGACTAAGTATTCATCAGTGGCAGATACTCCTGAAATACAGAGAATCAAGACGGCCCAGAAAAACATCAGCATGGTGAGTAGAAAGCATTCCATGTTACTTTTAACAAGGAAGGTACATTTTTGCCTTTTGATCTTTTGTTATTCATTAATTTATTTAATTTTTCTGGCAAAGTCCTACTAGCCATAGCAGGAGTTGTTAACCTGTAGTACCTAGATGATCCCCTTGGATAGATTTCAAGGGATCTTGGAGGAGAAAAAAAATTAACCTCTAATTAAAATAAAGCATTTCCATCAGTTATTTACAAATATTATTCTGAGAGGAGTCCGTAAACCTCCCCACAATATCACAGAGGTCTATGACACTCACAAAAATATAAAAAATACAAACCTTGTGCTATAGGAATTCCCCCCATACTGTAAAATAATCTTGCAAACAGCGCGCCATTGGGTGAAATGAGGGGATACCAGGAACTATGTCAGTGTAAAATTTTTACATATCTTCTAAACCATACAGCAACAGTTAGTGCCTCAGGGCCTCAAGTGCTTACTGGATTACGGTCAGGTTCTTTACTGCCCAGTACCATTATGACAAGGTTTCAAGGTGTTACGATGGGGTTGGTCATAAAGCACTGATAATACTGTTATAAAACAGCATAGGGCAGGACAACATTATGCAGGGCCCACTTATTCTTTCAAACAGCTATTACTTGTGATAGTAGAAATGCAGTAATCACTCAGTTTCTCTAAGCCTCCGTTTCCTCATTGGTGAAATGAAGGTGTTGAACTAGACCTCTGAAGTACCTTTCAGATCTTAACATTTTGTTGATTTTAAGGTTATCCAGTTAAGCAAATATTCATCGTCATCAAGAGTGTTAATTTCACGGACTTCTGAAGTATTTTCTTCTTTCTAATCAATTGGCAAATTCCCAACACTGATCCTGGCGCACTCATATGTGTGTACTCAGAAATGCACTGGTTGCATGCTACCTTTACAGAGGAGATACAAGCAGAGCTCAGTTACCTAAAAAAAAAAAAATCCTTTTGGATGCCAGGACTCTGAGAGGAGAAGGGAAAGGGAAATATCTTAGACTTGACCAGGCTCTATGAAATGGAAGCTTCCAGAGACAACTTCTACTGTAGTTGAAATGTCCTTCCCTCTGTACTGCCAGTAAGCTCTGAAATCTCAGACATGGCACAAGGGGGAATAATTTTGCTATGCACATATGCCTTTGTTGCATTGTTCCATATTTCTATGGAGGATTAAAGGTGGGGGTGATGGGAAGAGAGGATTCAGGAGGAGGTGGAAAGTTAGGAAAAATAGACTTTGGATTAATTAGGTTTGATTTATGTAAACTTTAATTTAAAGATTAGTAAAGTAGCTGTTTGGCTGGGGAATGAGAGTTGTTTTGAATTTCATGCTATTTCAGAAAAATGGCTAATAACAGTTTGCTGAGTTTTTATGGTATAGGTTTAGATTTCCTCCAAGTATCTTTATAAACATGCCTGGTCTTTATGAACAGAGGACCTGATTTGACTTTTTTCTCATTGGAGAAAATCAGTTGCAAATAGTTATAATCTGAGTCATGTTTTAATAGTACTGAAGTGTGAGGCTGATGTGAGAGTTTATCTGTGGATTTGGCTTGAAGGCTAGAAGGGAGGGATATGGAAATTAAACTGAACTTTTGCTCATATACTTGATAATTTCATTGATTCGTGAAAATAAAATGATGGGATTTTAAGTTGGAACTCTATTTACACTATTGTAAGATATGGAAGATTACCTTTCTTTTAGGAAAATTGGTCTAAGGACTTGAAATCTTAATAGGCTGATAGTTATTTTTTCTTCTCTTGTAATAAAGGTGTTTTATAAGAAAGGAGTGGGAGCTGGCACAGCTGTAAAAGAGACCCAGAGATGGAACGAGTTAAGAAAAATCAGCAGAATATTAGTTCAGTAAGTTCTCAGCAGAATCAGTTATCCTTTTTTTTTTTTTTTAAAGCAAACAGCCAGATAAATGCCTTCAGAATGTTTACTAAACAGATTGGTCTAAAAATTATCCTATGCTTCATTTAAATGTTTCTTCATCACATTTCAGGTCGAGCACTTGGTACGAAAGCTATGTAGTGTTGCTCCCTTTGAACCTAAGGCAATGTTTCATTCTGATATCTCCTAGTACATAAGAAATATCATTGTAATAACACTGTAATGAAATTTAGGATGAGATTTCATCTTTCAGAACAGAATTTTAGCCACGTTGACTCTTTTGCAACATGAGGAGGAATTTCAATAGCAATACAACTGCTTGGGAGGGGAAAAGAAAGATTCCATCTAAAGAATGAATTAAAGGCCTAAGCATTTATTTGTTTGCATTATCTTGTGACTTAAATTTTGCAAGAAAAATTCCTTCTCTTTATTATGACATTGACATTTTCTAGATGTACTTGTCATGGCTTTTTCCTCAAAAGAAAAAGCAACAAGCAGTTTTGCTCTCTTTTGAGAGGCAGTGTGGCATAGTAGATAGAAGACCAGTTTTGGAGTGAGGAAGACCAGAGTTCAAAACCTTCCTCAGATCAATCACAGGATAGTCTCATAAGCTGTGGTTGGCCCAGGCATCCCTCAAAGACTCCAAGTTATAAGGGCAGCTAGGTGGCACAGTGGATACAGCACCGGCCCTGAAGTCAGGAGGACCTGAGTTCAAATCTGGCCTCAGACCAAACACTTGACACTTACTAGCTGTGTGACCCTGGGCAAGTCATTTCACCCCAATTGCCTAAAAAAAAAAAGACTCCAAGTTATAGTGATATTTCCATGCTTCCTCTGTGGGGAGGGAGTTATGACATTGAGAATTTATGTCCAGACAAACATGTCCTCCCCTCTTCAACTGACTCCCATCTCATTTCCTTTTGAAAAGAAGGAGAAAAAAAGATGTTTGCAGTGATAGTAATCTTTATGTTCCATGTAGCATTTTACAATGAATGGCAGTTAAAAATTTCCAACTATTTCTGGGTCTTCTTTTATATGTTTAGTTTCACATAGAAAAGTAAAAAGTCCTGCTATATAAAATGAGAGAGCCAACCTCAGAGAGCTTAAGTATCACCTCTGACAGATACCTGTTGCAGAAGCCTGGGCCACTCACTTAACCTTCACATACTCTGGTGACTTTAATTCTGTATTTGCAGAGAAGATGACAACTTGCATAAGTGGAGTTTTTTCTATCAATGAAACTGCAAGGTCCAGTCTCTATTTCTAGTATTTATTGTGATTATGATCATTGTTGTTGTCCTTATTATTACTGGTACTGGTAATAATCTTAAAGCTCTTTAATGATTCCTTTGTCCTACCTTCCTAAACTGTATCTCCCAATATACATACTCAGGCTATAAATACCTTTAGAGCACAGGTGGCTTGTAGGAACTCCCTTGGTGTGTCCAGTTTCAAACTGTTCCAATAAATCTGCTACAAGATTGAGTGTAGAGATTGTTAGTCTTTCTGTGACCTCCTAGGATAAGAATGATGGAGGTGCTCAGGCATTAAGAGGCGAGACTAGGAAGGACAGTGTAAGAGAAGAGTAAAACTGCTCCAGAAATGAACCATCACATACAAATAATTGGAATAACAGAGGGATAAATCATCTGTCAAACAAACTAATATTCCTTAGGGAGACATCAGTTGGATGCCTAGTAGGAACAGGCAAGCGTAGTGAAAGACCTGGTGTCTGTCTGATGTAGCACTAGTTTGCCATTGGCTTCTATCCAGTTTATAAGGAGGGAGAGCTGGAGCAGAAGACTAAGGATGAATAAAATAAGTCGCTGTAAGAGAAAAGGCAGAAACACTCGAGGTCAATTTTTTCTAAAATATTTAAATATAGGTGAAGGATCTTGATTTCATTAGCATAAGGAATGCATGAGTGCAATGAATGAAAAAAAATATTCAGCACTTATTAGGCCCTCATTAACACATATCTGCAACCGACAGTTGCCAGAGTTGTCAGAGGACCATAGAGGTTATCTCTGTGTGCTACCTCTAAGGTTAGGTAGCCATGAAGTGTCAGAGATGAGGTTTGAAACAGTTATCCTCACTACAAGCCCAGTACTCATTCCACTATGTTATGTTGCCTCTATGCATATTAAAAATGTGCACATCTACCTATTATGTCAGAATATTTTAAGCCTTCCTTCTCACTAACAAGTTTCAGCATCCACATGATGTGTGTATGTGTGTGTGTGTATATGAAATATGTCTGTTATTTTGATGAGCACAATGAAGCACCAAAGTGATTATTTTAAATGATATTTGGTTTATAATCTAAGAAAAACCACACCAAATGGGACATTATCTTTTATACTGGATCTCATGGCATGGAGTAATCAAGTCCTACATCTTTTTCTCTGGGCTCTTCCCATAAACTCTGGCTTGGTATTCAAATGGAAAAGTTACCCTATCGAGATTAACAAGATATGTGAAGCCAAGATATGATTCTCTAATATTGAAAGGTCTCGACAGTTTCTACCTCTGGGGTAGACAGTCTTTTAAATCATCAAGGTTTCTCAGTTAAGAACTATTCTGTGAACTTTATGGCTAGCTAACCAGGCTCTATGAGCCTCCAAAATGAATTGTTTTGGTTTTGGGCCTAATTTTGGTCTTTTGGTAATATTACATCTGTAGGTATTCCTGTAGATGCATTATTCCAGAAAAACCTTCGAACCATGTCAGGACCTGAATTCCAGCCTCAATTATTCTAAATGGTCCCCAGTGGTTTCTAAAGAGTTTTGGCTTCAGTTAGATCTTTGGTAAATTTCCACACCCCCCCGTCAAATCCAGCTTATAATTTGTTACAAATACAGTATCCCCTTTTTCTCATTCATGTTATCTCTTATCTCATCTTCCATGGGCTTTAGACATAACTAAAATACCGCATGATGTGATGGTGAATGAGGTCATTATGCAGGTTTATAGCCAACCTCTCATCTCATGCATAAATGTGTATCAAACTGTAACCAGTCTCCTTAATCTCATTCTGAATAGAGGCAAATGGGTATTGCAATGGAAAAAGGGCTGGGCCTGGACTCAGGAAAATCGTAATAAAATCTGACCTCAGACACTGCATGTGATCTTGGACAAGTCACTTAACCTCTGTTTGCCTCAGTTTCCTCAACTGTAAAATGAGGCTAATGATAGCACCTACCTCCCAGGTTGCCATGAGGACAGAATGAGATAATATTTGTGAAGTGCTTAGCACAATGCCTGGCACATAATAGACATTGTTATAAATGCTAGCTATTATTATTGAATTAATTGCAGGAGGGGAGGACGTTTTCTTGAATGGAGTTAAAGCTGGGCTTATGGGTACCTACTGATGCCTTTGGTAATGTGAATATATACTTGTTCAAGTGAGAAAAGGTATCTTATTCCCTTTATAGTCTTGGCCTGGCTTGCTATATGTAGGACTATAGCATATGAGGTTGTTGGTACTTAAAAAAAATGGTTCCATTTTCTCTTGTTTTCCCCTAGACATTTTATTGGTTTTTCCTTTTCCTTGCTTGGTTCATATTGATGCTGAGTGCTATAGCTCATGCAGACAAGGTTTAAGTAAATTCATAACTAGTTCAATTTGACCTTGATCCTTTCAACCTGTCATGATTACTTATTTCTATATCAACAAATTAACAAAGAAACTCATTCCTTTTTCTATAGAAAATACGGATTAATTTTAAAACTTACCTTTCTACAGGAAAAAAAGATATTATCAACATTTTGTAAAAAGTACAAAAAGGAAGATATTGCTCATAGCTCTACCTATTTAATATGTAAAAATCCACTCATTGCAAATGCTTCTGAACATCAAAACGTCTGATAAAATTGTAAAAATATGTTTGTTTTACATACTCATTCTGATAAAACTCTTAAAATATGCAGTAGGGAACCAGACCTAGGTCCATTTATTCATTGAGAGAAAAAAGCTTTGCCAGGCATGATGACATGCACATGCTCCTGGGGAGGCTGAGACTGGTAGATTACTTGGTCTTGGTAATTCTGTACTTCAATTTGGCTAAAGCCAGTTAGGTGTCTTGACTAATTCTGTCATTAATGACCAGCAGTAGAGGGTTACCAGGGTACCTAAGGAGGAATGAGCTGGTGGAGATTAGAAAAAACAGAGGAGGTTAAAGTCTCCATGGGGATCTATGTTGTAATAAGGCCCGTGAGTGAGTGACTGCTGCCTCTTCTAGCTAGGATGACACAGGGAGACCCAGCTTTAAACAAACAAACAAATAAATGAGCAGACAATTGAATGAATAGGGAAAGGAGTTTTAGAACCATCAGAAAATCTACAGCCAGTTTTGGACTTATTTGTCATATATTTGGAAATGAACTTTTTAATAACAAGTAAAATGGAAGAAAAATTTGAAAACATTTGTTAGGCATTGCTTTGGTGGAAAAAAAAAACACCAAAGCCCAAGATTATGTTTTGCATTCCTTATACAGGTGAAATATAAAGAAGAAATAAAGCAGGCAACGACTATCTCAGACCTTCCAGAGCTAAAGAGAGCTAAAGAAAACCAGAAGAACATCAGCGATGTGTGTGATCCCATTACTATAAGTATTTTTTTCTTTCTGAGCCTTTAATCCCTCATCTGCAAAATGGGGATAATAGCACTTTTAATATTCTTCTCACAGGGGTGTTAGAACGCAAGAGGTTTGTCAGTTAGGAAGTATTTAATGTGAATTATTATGGGGAAAAACAAATGTTCCATTGGAATTGCCTGTAGTAATAATGCTTTGCTGTTCTATGTAGTTCTTTTTTTTTTTTTAACAGACTGAGGTTACACAGAAATACTTTCATTCTGGTTTCTATCCATGAAATAGTCAAAATAGTCATTTTCTCTAATGAGGGTGCCTGATTGTGCTTTGGGTGCAGAAGAGGAGAGGAAGGGGAAAATATTGGGAGTTCTTTCGTTCAGCCATTCAGTAGCCACTATAATTCCTCACTTCATTTGTTAAATCAACTTTTCCCTGTCTCAAACATCAGAGACTTAGAAACTTGCTTAAATTTCTGAATTGGGGTGTGTATGTGTGTGTGTGCGCGCACATGCGCATGTGCATTTATTTACAGAAAGAAAGAAGAGTGAATGACATTGGGCTAAAAGCATGTTGCAGGGAGCCTGAGGTGTGTCCCAACATTAGACTCAGGCCCCTGTTGAATAAAACTGTGAAAAACAAATTCCCTCTTCAAGAAAGCATTAAGGATTCCTTATGCAATTTATTTTAATGGGATTTTATCTATCACTATTCTTTGCTTTATTAAAAAAATCTATACCAATTTCAAGAGCATGCTGTTTAATTCCATAAATTAAAAAAGTTAATTAAAATTAAATTGAAAAAATAGAATAAATTTTTTTAAAAGGAGCACGCTGTTTTATGTTTGAGTGCTTAAGCATTCTTTCCTTTTGTGGATTATTTTGGTGTGACAATGGAAATGCACCAAAAGTTGGTAAGTTGCATCCCTCCAACAGAGTACAACTCCCTTTGCCCGAGAGGAGAGGAAAAAGTCCCCTAATGTCAGGGCACTCGATGAAGCTGTTGAAAGGCAGAATTTTGCAGGCAATACATTAAGAAGGAGGAGAGAGTGCCACTGGATTGCTTGCTCATTGAGGAGGCAGGGCTACATGTGAAAATCTGGGCTATCATGATTCTTTGCATCTAGCAGATACTTGATAAGTGGTTGTTAGATGATGAGGGAGTAATGAATTATTAAGAAGATAGCAAGTAGCAGATGACTAGATGTTACTCCGGAAAGTGAGAAAGTGGTTTTTTTTTTTTTATATTGTCATTGATAGGATGAGATCCAGGGAATTAACCCTTGGATAGCTGGAATTTATAGGGTAGGAACCAAAAAGGAGAAATCAGGAATGTCAGGACGAATAAAAGCCTAGCAAGTAGAAACATTAAGTGTATAAGAATGCTAGCGAGAATTTACTATAAAGTCCCAATGAAAATTTTACTAATGAACCCTAGCCATGTATATTTTCCTTTTATCTTTACTAAAGTATCATTATATTTTTTATTTTGCATACTTGAATGTCTTGTACCCTGTTTCTCAGCTTCAGTATAGAGAGCAGAACTACAAAGCTACCCCTGTTTGCATGACTCCAGAGATTGAGAGAGTGAAAAAGAACCAGGAGCATCTCAGCATGGTGAGTGGTTTGAGACTTTCTTGCTCAAAATTTAGAAAAAGAGATTTTTTTTTTTGAAAAAATGATAATGCGATCAAATCTGATGGTTTGGTTATAATGGCATTAGATACTTTGGATTCTACTTTTTTCTCCTTTTACATCCAGGAGGACCTGAACTAGATATGAATGAATGAATAAATAACATATGTATTAAGTACCTATTCTGTACCAAGCACTGTGATAAATATTGGGGATTGTTACTGTTTGCCCTTTGTTCTTGAAGAGGACCATGACATCAGGAAGATGATGCCATGATTTGCAGGGGAATTGGATTTAAGTGAGGGAGGGCTGTGCAAGGTCACCAGCCTCACTTTCTCCTCTGGAGCTGTCTGGGTCCAGTGGCAAAGTATAGATTGGGATGACTGGAGATGGCCCCAGCATTGGAGATACAAATAAGAAAAGTAAGATAGTCTTTGCTCCTAAGAAGCTCACATTCTAGTGGGAGGAGACAAGTCATAAAAGAAAGTTCAGCTAGAGGGCAGAAGGAAAGGTCTACAAGGCTAACACAGCCTTGTACAGGGGCATATAGGAAGACCCAGGGGTTCTTAGGTTCACCAGTAGATCATAATTGCAGTGGTCTGTAGAGTCCTGTGGCCCTCCAACTCACTGGAAGGAAAAGAATTGGTTACTCCCACCTTATCCTTGCTTTGTAATCAGTCAAACGTTCTGGATGGATTCTAGGCTGCCTGGGTCAGGGTTAAGGAATAAAGATCCAGGGGAGGGTACCCAAGGTGGTGGCACTTCCCAGCCATCCTGGCATTGTAAAATACACGCTATCTCTCTTGATTGGAGGTAATGTTGTGATGTAATAGTTTTGGATTTGGAGTTAGGTCTGGATCAAATTCCATCTACAGGCACTTAGTATTGTGTGATCATGAACCATCCTCAAACCCTCAGAGCCTCAGTTTCTTTATATAAGGTGAAGATAACAATACCTGTACTACCTACACAAAGAGTTGTCCTGAGGACAGTGCTTTGCAAACCATGAAGTGCTATCTAAATGTTATTATTGAGGAATACACCAGGATGGAAGAGAGAATCATTGCTATCAGGTGTTTATAGGAGAATTGATTTTTTAGCTTTTCTGGAGAAAGTGTTTCCACATTGACTTAAGTCCCAAAGAATACTGTTTAGACAAATGAAAAAGAAAGCAAATTCAAATGCAAAACCATGGCCCATCCACAGCTGGAGAATCCTGTGCAGTTCAGGTCCTAGAACTGAGAACTTAATGAGAATTATTAAGGGAGAGTGAGGGATTTTAAATATGGACCAGAATAGATCAGAGTTTGTTTTTCTCTAAAGAGCCAGGGCGGTGATGAGACATGATAGTAGTGTATGGAATCATGAAGGGGATGTGCAGCTTGAACATGGACTTAAAAAAAACCAAACAAGCCATGCAGTATACTAGCATTAGAGTGCATGGCTTGAAGTTTGAAAGAGGAGAGTTTAAGGCAAATAAAATAGCTTTAGAATTCACTAGTCCAAGAGGCAGTATAGGAGGAATATATCAATAGTTTCACAAAAAAAGGGGAGATAAAATCATTGAATCCCAGAATCTGACAGTTGGAAATTGCCATCTAGCCCACTAAGTAGTTGGCCAAGAATCCCCTCTGCAATGTTCCCCACAATTGGTCGTCTAATTTTGGCTTGGATGTCTCCATTGAGGAAGAATGTACCATCTCCCAAGGCTGCCCATTCCAATTTTGGATACATCAAATACTTAAGATTTTTTTCTTTATATCCAGCTTCAATTTGCTTCTTAGTAATGTCTACCTATTACCCCTAATTCTGCCCTGTAGGACCAATCCCTCTTCAACATGGTAGTCCTTCATATACTTGAAAGCTATCATCTCCCCCTTCCTTCAAAAAACCAAAAACACTATGGGACTTTTTTCTTCTAACTGGATCTTCAGATATTTGTCCTTTCCAGATTATATGGCCCTCCTATACGTGAGACTGTCCCAAGGACACACAATGGCCTTTTCCCTCCCGATAATACGCATGTGAATGACATCTGAATTACAGCTTTTACCATAACATTTATCTTGATCCTATTTCTATGAAACAGGTCAGGACAAGGAGAATTAGCTTCATAAGTAAGAGATAGACACATGCATACAAGAGACTGAGACAGAGAAATACACAGAAATGAAGACAAAAAGAGCCAAAGAGAAAGGAAATATTAGAAAAGGAAATGATTTTCAAAAATTGCTCACCTGAAAACCTTGGTTCTGGTACCAGCTGATTCCAGGTCCTTTTGTTCTGTCCATCTGACTGCAATGGCTTCTTTTAAACATTTCCTTTAAAATGTGCTACCTTGCATTTTCATTAATGTTATTCATAGAGTTTGCGTTCTCTTCAGTATTGACCTTTGAGGAATTTATCAAAAATTTATCTTTTGGTAAAAGTGGAATAGTTTAAAATGGCAGATAGGCCAGAGTGGTTTAAGCAGTGTGTCTACATCAGGAGTGGGGAACCTGTGGCCTCAGGGCCTCATATGGCCCTCTAAATCCTCTTAAGAAGAGGATTTGTTCTGTAAAACTTGAATTCAGTCAAAAGGCTGCACCCAAGGACCTAGAAGTCCACATGTGGCCTCGAGGCTGCAGGTTCCCTATCCTTTGCTATATTAATGAGACGACTTTAGAGTTAAATAATTTATATTATTGTTGTTCAGTCATTTTCAGTCATGTCCCTCTTTATGATCCCATTTAGGGTTTTCTTGGCAAAGATACTAAAATGTTTTGCCACTTCCTTCTCCATCTCACTTTACGGGTGAGGAAACTGGGCAAACGGGGTTAAGTGACTTGCCCCGAGTCACACAGCTAGTAAGTGTCTGAGGTTGGATTTGAACTCAGAAAGATGAGTCTTCCTGACTCCAGGTACAGTGCTCTATCTACTCCACCATCTAGCTATCTGACTGATTTATATAAGATATGGGGAAAAAAACTTAGGTTTTAAAATTAGAATTGTGTTCGCATACATCTATATATGCATGTATTATGTATCAGTAGTGAGCACAGTGTCTGGCATATACTAAGTGTTTAATAAATGCTTGTTTGCCAACTGACTGATTGATCTCCACTGTGGCATAGTGAATAATGCACTGGATGAGCAATCAGGAAGACTCTAGTTCACTTACTGGGTGTTTCTAGACGAGTCACTTAAAACTTTTTTTAGCCTCAGTTTCCTAATCTGTAAAATGAGGCATGATAATAGCACCTATCACCAGAGTTGTTGTAAGGATCAAAGGAGTTATCATATATCTTTAAAGCATTTTGCAAACCTTAAGGCATATGTGAATTCTTCCTATTATTATTTATTATATGCACGTACATCTAAACATGCATACACTCACACAAATGCATGGTATCTCCGTATGATTTGTTTTGACTGTGAAGATTCATGGTCCTCATTGCATTATCATCCTAGCTTCTCAAACATTTGCTGACACGGATACCTTATCCACCACACAGGTGACATACCGAGGAGAAACCAGACGTGCCACATCCATTTCTGACCCACCAGAGTTGAAGAGGGTTAAAGAAAACCAGAGGAACGTCAGCAATGTGTGATCTTCCTAGAAACGTTTCCCCTCTATGAATTGTCACATGTGGTCTACTGAAGTGAAGGATTGGGTTACCGGGTTTATGTAACACAAAGTTGGTGGTGTGCACTCAAGAAAATGGCCTTCAAACATAACTGCAGAGGGCAGAAATGTTTCCCTATTGCTCTATTTGATACATAATTTTATATTATGATACTTGGCTATCTTTAGGCCTTGCCTTTATTTCTACTCATATGGATCCTTTGCCATCCTTCCCCTCCCAACCCCAACCAAAAAAATTGGTAGCTTTCTTAAGCAGCTATCTCCACTGCCATCATAGCATCTTTTTACCATGTGTATAGCTGGGCCATCTTCCCAGAACTCTAACTTGCCTCTCTCTTGACCAGACAATCTACTCACACTTATCATTTCTCTCTTGGAGTTTGCCATTATGCAGCTGTTTATTTTCTTTGACTCAGGATCCAGGCTAGAGATTCATAAATCTTATGCATGGGTGAAGGAGAGTGGCTTGTTTTAGGAAAGAAGACAGTAGAGGGACTGTGTTCTCACTAAAAAATCTTTACCATGGTCTGTTAGGTTTCCTCCAATTTGCATAAACCACGAATGTACCTGACAGTCTTAATTTCATTTAAAGTCACTAATATCCATTATATCCTTTTTATATCCTTTTTTATATACTTTTTTTGGAGGCATTTGGGGTTAAGTGACTTGCCCAGGATCACACAGCTAGTGAGTATCTGAGGCAACATTTAAACTTGAGCCCTTCCGACTCCTGGACCAGTGCTGTATCCACTGTGCCACCTAGCTTCCTTCTACTATGCTCTTTTGACCCACAGGTTTTGAAATATATTATCTTCCAAGGAGGCTTTGATTCTTTGAAAATCATTTGGAAAATTATTTTTAAAACATATTATTAAATATATTTTCTAATAACTAAAGTTTTGAAGAGTGACTCTCTTCTTACCTATATGTTTGGGTTCACTCTACATGGCCCCTGTTTCCTCTCGATAAAGATCAGAAGAAATAGTGATGGAAAATTAAATAGCTATAAGTATTTCTATATACTTACAGCTATATTAAATGGATGTAAGTATTCAAAAAGTCTCTTGCTCTTTATGGATCATGCAGGGGCAGGGGTCTGTTCAAAGTCATCCCTTATTCAAAGTTCCTTCTCTGTAGCTAGTTGCTTATAATCCACTGCAAGATGGTGCTGTTATAGACAGTGACAACTTCAAAAGGTACCTTTAATTACCATTCAGGGAAAAATAATTCTGTGAACATTCTTATGGAATAAAGCATTTCATGATTAAGTATATATGCTTTTTAGCTTAGCCATGACATGTGCACATGAGGAGTGCATCCACATACACATGGGCATGTTATAACGACTGCTGTGGGAATTAAGAATCCAAATAGACAATGATTTATGATTCTGATATGTATCCACCTCAACCAGAGGCTTTCCTTTTTAACTTTCCTTGATGGTTCTCTGAAAGCTAATAACTTAATGTTTTCTGTTCATGGCTTGGTTAAATTAATGTTCAGAACCTTCTTTTTGTTCTATAAAATAATAGGTCCATTATAAGGGACAGCTGGGCAGAGCAACTGCTGTAAGTGTCACTCCGGAGATGGAAAGAGTCAAGAAGAATCAGGAAAATATTAGCTTGGCAAGTGATGCTTTGAAATCTTTAAAAAAAAAAACAACAATATTTCAAATTCCCCTAAATGTAAGCATAGAGCTGGAACTAAAATTAAGCAATCCTTTCTTAACTGCTTATTTTAAAAATTTTTGAATTTATAAGAGTATGTTGTTTTAAAGAACATTAGATTATATGCATGTGATAGAGCCTCAGATAATTGAAGTCTCCTAAATGAGATCAGTAATCTCTCCAGAGTTCAGCCTAAGAACATGCGATGTGATGTTTGCATGCATTGAACATACATATGTATAATGTACTATATGTCTCCATAGATACATTCGCATGGGGATATATGAATCAAGAAGACGTAATAGAAAGCCGAGCAATGGCTTCATGGTTCATACTCATAAAACAGATGATACTAGGACCATAAGATCCTAGTTAGTTTGATGAACTAAAGCATAAGCCCGTTATTTGGTGCTTTGAATATGTCTCCTTGATTCTTCTTTTATGTAGCATAACTATACACACATATACGGCAAGTGTAACATATACAGAGAAAAGAGAATTTATGTATCTATTTAAGAGTGTGTTGTTATGAGAGTATGGGAAAGTGTATATAAATTAAAGAATGTGCGTGTATGAAATTATGTTTATATGTGTGTGAAAGATAGAGAGTGTGTGTATGTGAGAGAGGAAGTTTATGTATGGGAGTGAAAGAGACAGAGATATACACATACATATGTTGGGCCTTAAGCATGTGTCTTGAGAATCCTCTTTTGAAAGAGCATGGGTATCATTTAGAATGCACTGTAATTCTCTGAGACTTGATATAATCAGCATCACCTGAAAGCAGAAGTTTCTAGCAGACCTCCCTGTCTCTGTATAGCTATGAAACATGTCTACATATACGGAGAGGTACTGTGGAGTAGTGCATGGTGAGCCAGGCCCATGAGCCAGGAGGACCCCAGTTTAAATTCTGGCTCTGACACATATTGGCTATCCAATTCTGGCTGTATGATCATTTAATCAATTGATGCTTGGGACAACTCTCTAATGTCATAAACTGCATAACAGTTGCTAATGCATTTCCTAACAGGGGATGCCATGTATTAATGAATTCCCCCTATGTCCCAACACACACACACACACACACACACACACACACACACACACACACACACATATACACGCACATACAAACATATACTCTCTGCTAATGGTGTAGCAATGTATTTGAACACAAGTTCACCCTTGTCCTAGGTGCAGATCATGTGTTACAGAAAAAAAAAATTGTGCTGCTGGGAAACTTTCCCCTAGCTACTATCTAAGTGACTGATATTCCATCAGTGCTGCAGGGAATAGTTGTATGTTTGGCCTTGTAAAATGGTATTACTTTTAATATATTAACATTTTCAGGGATGTTACTTTAACTAAAGTGTCTAAACAATTCAATCCTTCATGTTAATGTGAATGTATATTGTTACACCATCTATGCAAAGCAGAATAATCAATTAGTCATTGGCGGTGAACCAGAACTCCCAAGCAAAAAGCCATTTTTGAAGGTATTTACAAACAGTACTTTGTTAGTCACATGGTACACATATAGGGATGTCTCGTTTGGACAATATTTTTTTTCGGTAGAAGTCATGCTTCAATATTGAATTATACATATGCCTTCAGGTCTGTAATAATTAAGTTTCTAATCCTACAAATAATCAGTCTGATAAATGATGGTATTCCATTTGTAAGTGCCAAGAGTACATGAGCTGTCCCTGGCACATCCAGAAGATTTTTGTGCCTGAAGAATCAGCTTTTAAGTTGATTTTAAGATTTTAAAGCCTGTAGATTGCTGCTGCTGTTAAGAGAATCTAAAAATGTTTTCCACCTAAATTACTTTTAAGCTATGGTTTTGAGGAAGTAAAAATGATTGAATCATGCAGCTATATTTAAGAACTGTCCTTCCATTGGTCTTTATTCCTAGGAGATGAGGAGAAAAGGGGAAATGGATTGAAGCTAATAGGTTACACTGTGAGCATCCATCATCTGTGTTATAGGGGGTACCAGTTAAAACAAATCTGGTACCCTCTAGGATTGGCTTTCCCCTTATCTGTCTAAACCAAGAACCAGTGGAACAGATGATACAGATGGCTGTTGGTCCCCCACATAACTGTCTTCTTAAGAGACACAGTTCTATATCATTTTGATTGTGTGCGTGTGTGCTGTGCGTGTGTGTGTGTGTACAAAGTCATTTAGAATGGTTTTTTGAGTCTCTTGAGATTGTTAATCTGAAAAAGAAAAAGACACTTCAACATGGGTGAATGGTAATTGACAATTTCTTGAGCTGGTTCCCTTTTAAATATTTTAAGTATGTTGTATATAATTTACTTTTGAAAGGGGGTGGAGGAGGGAAGAAAATGTAGAGTTACATGTGGTTTTTTTAAAAATTTCAGTTGTGTTTTATTCTAAGTTTGTCCTGGTTATTATTGCTTTACAGGTTAAGTACACGCAGGATCAGAAACAGATGAAAGGTAGACCAAGTTTGATTGTAGATACCCCTGGACTGAGGCATGTTAAAGAAACTCAAAACAATATTTCCATGGTAGGGTACAACTGCCTGCCTCTTCTCACAATCAGTTTATACTAAAGAACAACATTGCATCATATCCTGGAGATGTTAGTTCACCACTAAGCTGGATAATGATTAAAGCACAGTAGTTGGGATTGCTCCATTTGCCTTATGGTGAATTTTCTAACTGCATCTAAATGTAATGGAAGCACTTAGAGTTTCAATAAAAAGATTTTCTCTACTGATTGATTTATGCCTTTTTATTTTCCAATCTCCAATCCCTTCTGTCCTTTGAATGCCTTGTGTGATTGACAACTGCCTGGACCTCCCTCCATTTGGTTTTGAGTTTGTGTTTGGCATGTTTGCATGTTGCAGAGCATATTTCAAAGTGCTGTTTGTGTTTTATAACCATATTAATTAATAGCACCATATTCAGATTTATAATCTAGTTGCTCTAGGGGTCACTACTATTTTTTTTTATAACTGTATGGCACTGTTAATAAAAATGGTTGAGCAGTAGGGACTTAATTTACAGGTATTGTTTTAAGGAAAGCTTAGGAAGTAATTACAGTAATATATATGCATATTTGTAACTTCAATACATATACCTGCATATTTTTAACTTAAAATACATATATATTTAAATTTATATATTCCTAACTCCAATAAATACTTTACTGTAATTATGAATATATAGGTTTAAATATATGTATAGATATGATTTTTGAAGTTAAATGCAGATTTAAATGTGTATGTATATTTTTTACAGATATGCACATATATTACTATAGTTATATTACATGTAGTTGCATACATATACCTTTTGAAGTTATAAATATATAGGTTTAAATAAATGCATATATTTGCATTTTGAAGTTATGAATATGTAAGTTTAAATGTAATTTTAAAGTGGTTCTCATGAGCCATAGTAATGATCAACTCAGTAATCAAGAGACCTAAAATCAATATCATCACCCTAATTATGAAGTTAGCAAAAGGGTTTATGGCTAACACTAAAGGGAGAAGCAAAGAAGAATATTGATTTAGGCATTTGGAAAGATGAGCACGGAAACCTAGTGGGAAAAGTGATTAGTATTTTTTTTTCCTGGGGGATAATTGGAGAAGGATGACCATATCTAGGCCTATGTAGAATGATATTTTTGCCTTGGTAGCCTGTAGAATATCAGTTCAGCTAAGTTGCAGCCTCCACAATCTGTTTTTCTTCCCTTTTTTTCAGGTCAAATATCATGAGGACTTTGAGAAGACAAAGGGCAGAGGCTTTACTCCAGTTGTGGATGACCCAGTGACAGAGAGGGTGAGGAAGAATACTCAGGTTGTCAGCGATGCAGCTACAAAGGTATACATCCACAGATTGTGGAAATGGATCGGCGGCCTGGAATCATTGTGGGTAAGCTGACCTTCTGTGGAGGGACTGACTCAAGATTAAAGGGATGTACTAGATTGAGAATCTGTCCTCTTGAGCACTGACATCCAGGCTTTAGATGCATTTTACATGGGAGTCTACTCCAAATGGGTCCTATTTAAAGTAGTGCAGCTTCTGAGGCTGTAATTTTTAGGCTAGATGATACATTTCAGAATTCCTTGCATGTGAGAGCTGGAAAAATATCTCTTTAAAATAAGTGTCTTTTAATATTTAATATCAGAAAACCTATAACCCTTTTACAAATCTGTTTGGGAGGGGAATAGTTTTGATGCCTTTTTGATATGTCCACATTGGTCTTTGCAAATGGTAATTGCCTAGCTGAAACACTAAAAATATCTTATTTGGGGAGCTATAAATGTATTAGTGTATTAATTAAGCCATGAAAAGATATTCTCCATGAGTTTTCCCTTGCTCTAATGGGAGCAGAATTCTCTCAAAGCCCCCTTTAATCATCTTCAGTGTAGGGTTCCTGCTAAGAAGGAGCATTACAGTGGCAGCATCCTCAGAGAGGCTATTTACAGGGGTGATAATTACACACATTTCTGAAAAAACACTTCGGAATTTCAATTTTAATAACGCATACATAAAGAGTAAGTGAGCTGTACTCTAGATGTATGTAAATAAAGCTGACAGTCTTCATCACTGGGACTTTTAAGGTTAAGAAGAATAATTTACTATCTTAGAAGATCCTTGTCACTAAAATATGAAGGCTTCTCTTGATTTAAAAATAATGCATGCCAAGGTCATAAGACCAGTAGACTGCTCGAAGCTTTTCTCCTTACTCTGCTTAGTGATTTTACTTGATATAAATAAGCAGTAGTAAGCCAGCATGGCATGAGGGAACAGAGATAGCTTTGGAATCAGGAAGATCAGGGTTCAAGTCTCACCTCTGACACATGCTAGGAGTGTCACCCTGGGCACTAATGTTCTAGGAAGTTCTGTAAGGCTCTAAATTATAGAGAAGATGCAGATTTGCATTGGTAGAGAAAGATCCTTGCCGGGCATTTTGTATCAATGAAATTTTTTTTAAAAAGAAGAAGAAATGATTCTGCCGAAGTCCTACTTGACTGTCTCCTTGTCATATGAAGGTGATATTGTGTTCTTGAAGACTTTGCTGGAGGAATATAAGATCTGGAAAGACCTGTAAAGCTAAATGGATTCTGAGATATTTATGTCTGTTATTAGAAGGCTAGGCAGAGCATGGAGAGGCTTTTTCTTGGGTTGGTCACAGGAAAATGTCTTCTTCCCCTAAGTAGCTCGTAAAGATCATTTAATCAAATGAATGTGGCGGGTCAGTTTGTACTGATGGAGGCAATGCCCACTCAGTAAAGATCACAGATCTTTGAGTTCAGGGCAGAACTTGCCCTTCAGTCTCTTCACACACATCACCAAGCTGTGAATTATTTACAGCGTGTAAAAATGTCCACAAATCAACTACAAATGACTGACTTCTCAAAGTAAGAATCCCAGTCTTTAAGTATGGTAGTTGAATTGAAGTGGTCAGGTAAACTTGAGTCATTTTAACTTTCTGTTTTCTTTTTGAAGTTGTTTGCATGAAGCAAGTTCAGTGGGTTTCTAGTTTTATTCTGTCTATATCAAGCACTGTCTTTTATATTGTTTGGACCTTTCATTCTCTAATAAGGGTGGTTTTTACCAAGGCAAAGGGCCATATTGGGACCTAAGATTATTTAGAACACAGATAAGGCTGAATTACACATTTATTATTTCTGGAATTCCATTCTTTGAAGTGATGTTACAACCTGAAAAGCTTCAGATTTGGGGTCTGGCCTTACCAGGCACTAGCTTGTCATTGAAACTTTAAGTCAAAATAATAGGCCTCCTAATGCCTCCACAATGGCTCAAGATTCCTTCCATGGAAAAAATGCAAAAGTCCAAGTAGTGTCATCAGTCAGCAACAACTTATTTTTATTTTTTAAAAACACATTTTTATTAAAAAAATGCATTTTTATTTGTATCTTCTATTTCTAATCTCATCATAGTTTTCCCAAGTGTCCTTCCCCTTTCCCCTCCCAGAGAACTTTTGAAGAGTAAAAAAAAAAATCAACACAATGATTAATATATTGAAAAAGTCCAAAAACATGCGCAATATGTAGTACCCATTGACCTCCCACCTCCACAAAGGGGCAGGTTGGGAGTGTCTTCTCATATCTTTTCAGTCAAGCATTTGTTAAGTGCCTGCTATGTGGTAGGCACTTCCAAGTGTGGTGTTAGAAAGACAAAAAAACAATCCTTGCTCTCAAGGAGCTCGAAGTCTAATGGGGGTTGGGGTGGGGTAACAACATGCAAATATCTATCTACAAACAGGCAGGGTAAATTGGGGATATTTTCAGTAGGAAGGCATTGGCATTGAGGGCAAATGAGAAAGGCTTCTTGTGGAAGGTGGGTATTCAACTGAAGGAAGTCAGGGAAACCAGGAGGTAGAAATGAGGAGGGAGAGAGTTCCAGGCATGGGGTGGGGTGGGGGAGGGACAGCCAGTAAAAATGCCCAGAATGAGGAGATGGAGGGACAACAAGGAACGACAAAAAGGCCAATGTCAGGGGTTAATGGAGGGGAGGAAGGTATAAGAAGACTGACAAGGTAGGAAGGGGCCAGATTATTAGAAGTCAAGCAAAAGATTGTATTTGATTCTGTAGACAAATACACGTGTGGACATGGTCAGATCTGTGTTTAAAGAACATCAGTTTGATAGCTGAGCAGAAAATGGACTGGAATGGAGGGAGACTTGAGCCAGGGAAACCAGGCAGTAGATTGTTGCAATAGTCCAGGCATTAATTAGGTGATGAGGGCCTACACTGTCACAGGAAAGAAGGGGGAGTACATGAGATGTTAAGAAGGTAAAAATGAAAAGACTTGACAACTGATTGAATATGGGGAGTGAAAGAGTGAGGCACTGAAGATGACACTTAGGTTGTGAGCCAGAATGACCGTTAAGACAGTGGTCCCCCTGATAGTAATAGAGAAGTTAGAAAGAATGGAGGGTTTGGGGAAGTTTCATTTTAGACAGGTTGAGTTTAAGATGCCTGTAGGATATCTGGTTTGAGATGTCCACTAGGCAGTTGATGTGAGACTGGAGGTCAGGGCAAGGTTAGGACTAGACAGGTATATCTGAGAATCATCTGCATTGAAATGACAATTAAAATCCATGGAACATGATGAGATAACCAAGTGAATAGGATAGAGGGAGAAGATAAGAGGGCCCTGGACAGACCCTTGTAAGACACCTATGGCTGGAAGGCATGATGTGCATAAAGATCCTACAAAGGAGCCCGAGGGGTGGTCTAACAGAAGAAGAACCAGAAGAATGCAGTGTCACAAAAACCTAGGGAGAGGAGAGTACTGAGGACAAGAGGGTGATGGACTGTGTCAAAAGAAGCAGAAAGGTCAAGAAAGCTGAAGATTAAGAAAGGGCCATTAGATTTGGAATTTAAGGAAGAGTTAGAACTTTGGAGAGATCACTAATTTCCCTATACATTATGCTATTATAGTATTATTTCTGAGACATTTGGAGATTGAATTGCCCAGGTTACATGAGCCAGTATGTGTTAGAGGTAGGTCTTGAACCTGGTTTTCTTCATTCCAAGAGCATCCTTCTATGATGACAATTCTGCCTTTCTTTTGCTAGTTTAAATAGAGTAAAAAAAGAACAGTAAATAGGGAAAAAGTTTTTAAAGGTGTTTCTTCTGGTTTTGGTATGCATTATTTTTAAGTCAATTGAAGAGATCATAGTTCCTAGATTTTACTGTTGGGTCAAAGAGAAGTGAGTATCCAGAAGTACTTGAATATGTCTACTTTGCTGAATTAAAATTGTATTTACATTTAATTTCAAAAATTTGAATAATCAAATATCTGGTTGTCTTATACATTCCCTTCAAATAAATTTCTAGCAGTGAAATTCCTTTATTAATAGCTCTTTATTTTTTCTGGTAGTGATAATAATTATAGTGCAGACTTACATTTAGATCCATGTTGTATAGCTAAGGAATTGCCTTAGGTATGGAGCTATTGGTTCAGGAATGACTCAAGTCATTTTTGACCTCAGAGACAACAGATTGTAGTTGCACCAGTGATATTTCCCTACCCTACAGCTCACATCCTTGATTACTTAGTCAGCATGTTGGAGTCTTCAAAGAGATAATTTCCTAGTTCGGACACTAGCAATGTGATCGTGGCCATATCATCTAACCTTCCTAAACTTTGCTTTTGGTACACCCAACAATGGATACTTTGCCTCCTATAAACAAGAAACAGCAAAAACTTTCCTTTTCAATCTCATTCTCTCCTACGGCAACATCTACAGAAAAGTTCGCTAACGTTTTGGAGAAGGATGCATGTGTAAACTTAGAGGCATGTATGTTCGTCTTCTTTGCAACAACATTTATTAAAGTGGGCATTCCCAAAATATTTGCTTCTGATATAGCAGAGAGGATTTTTTTTTCCAGGCTAAAAAACAAAAACAACAGCTTCTTAGTGGTTTTTTATGAGTCAGTAAATTCATTCTACCTTTAATATTTTATCTTATCCAATATATGGTGAGAAAAAAGACTTGACATTCAAACAATATGGTGCAATTAGGAAATACTTGCCTTGTGTAGATATGGGCCATGCTATAAGCGGTTTTATGGGATTACTGATGATTACATCAAAAAGCACTTAAGTTGTTTTCCAACTTAAAAAAATAATTAAGATAAACTGGGGAACGTAAATTTAAACACATAGTTCTCTTAACAAATACTTGTGCAAATGGATGTCTGTTAGCTCATCCCAAGAATACAAACAAATATCTCGGGAAAGCTGTAACTGTGGTCTTTAAAAACACATAACAACATGAAGCCACCTGACTTTGTTTTTGCTTCTCTTTGCTATGAGTCATTCTTATTTTTCTCTTGATTTTCTTTTATTTCTTTCTTTTGGTGAAAGACCTTAACGTTTGGCGCACTGATCCTGGTTCTATCTTCGACCTTGATCCGTTGGAAGACAATATTCAATCTAGGAGCCTACATATGCTCTCTGGTATTACTCATATTTTGAGTTCTTCCATCTTGGTATGGTTTTGTCCTGAGAATGAAACCCTCAGAAGCATTCAGATTGAATTAGTCCACTTTAAAAACAATTTAAAAAAAATCGTGACTTTGAAATGAATTATTGTTTATAGTTACATATGACTTGAAAATAGATTTTAATCATTGATGTAAGTGAAACTCAATAAAAGCATTTTTTATTAAAAACTAGATTAGAATGTCCTATTATTCCTAGATTCAGTCAAGAGTGTAGAGTTCCATTCATCTGCTTTTTATTAGTAAATATGATTTCAGTAGGCTTTGTGGGTTCTCAAATGCAGTTATTTGGATTTCACTAAACTTTTAAGACGTAAAGTAGGTTTGAATTCTGAAATACACTGTAACAGTGTTTTCAAGTCCTGTTGTAAGAATTTCAAGTGAAATAGTATAGAGATTTTCTATAACCTGGATAATCTCTTAAAATAAAATAGAATTTCTTTTGGTCACATTCAAAAGGATGCAATATTTAAGCATTTTAAAAGAGCAAGCTGTATTTTCAATCTGCCCTGAAAGTTTACTTTTGGGTTTGATTAACTTAAAATGAATAGCTTATGGATAAGTTTATGTGACTTTTAACTGATGCTGTCATCTCTAAATTAAAGGTACAGCAAGTATAGGTTGGTAGTGATAACAGTTTATCAGAAACTCTCATTTCACATTTTAGACTTCCAGACTGTGGAGTCTTGGCAGTCAATCACAACAATGCAATGAGTCAAACTAGATGATTCAGACCAAGGATTTACATCCTCTTGGCTGGATTTGCCTATCGACTTTGATCAAATGAACAATCACAGACCAAGATCCTCTTGCAGTCAGTTTTATCAATGTAGGCATCCAGGTTCCAAAAAAAAATATAGACAGAAAATTAGGCAACAAACTTTGTGGACCTGGGAATGCTTCCCCCCCCCCTTTTTTTTAACCATTGCTATGTGTTGGTAGAAATTCACATTGTCACCTGTGTTTTTCTAATTTTTGTAAAGAAAGAGGTCCATTCTTTCTTCCCTATACCCACCAAAAAATAAAGGTAGACAACTAATGAAAATAATTTATTGTATGATGTGCCCTAGGAAGGTAGTGTGGTACAGTGAAAAGGGTGTTGGCTTTAACGTTAGAGGATCTAGCTCCAAATCCTGAATCTGTCACTTAGTACCTGGGTGACCCTAGGTAAGTTATGTTATTTCTCTCAGCCTCGGTTCTCTCTGGGCAAAATGAAGAAGCTAGTTTACTACTGCAGTCCCTCCATCTCTGTGATCCTTCATTCACTGGTTCTTGGAGAGAGAAACCAGGAGTTTGATGGCTAAAACTAAAATATTAGTTATTTGTCTTTTTATGTTAAATTTTTTTATTTCTTTTCCATTTCATTCTGTTCTTCAGTCATGTAACCATGCGCATGAACATTCTTTTTCCCCAATATAGAAAAGGCAAGTCTCTACAGTAGACATCGGTCTCATTCAACCAGTACCCTTGGTGTAGGACTGGGGGATGACAAGTCAGAAATCTCTGAGACAAACCCTAGCTTTTCCTTCTGCAGTGAGATAACAAGACCATCTGATGAAGGAGGAGGTATCCAATCTTTCCCAAGTAGACTAATTCATTGGTAATTTGTGGAATTGTGCATGACTTCTATTCTTAACACATCTTCACATGTGTTTACGTGTTGCGTATACATATTTGGCTGTTGTGAAATTTGGAAACTTGAAGTGAGCTTCTGCAAGCCTTGGGCTTGCTCTCCCAGCATGCTCTTTGGCACATACCTTCTGTACTCCACTTGTGTGTTGTTACTAAAGGTGGAGCCTAAGGATCTGAAGGCCATCCCTACTACCATCAGTCTCAAGATGTTTTAACTGAATGCATCTGTTTTAGGACATTAAAATGATTGACATGAATATTAAACATTGGTGTGTGCCAAATTGGTCCATCAGTAACATCAAAACTGACCAGGAAATAATGCGTAATTCATTCTTGATTTCCTATAGGAAAGTCTACATTTCAATAATATTTAAATGTTACATGCTTCTAAGTGTATGAAGGAATATTAACCCAAAAGTAGACTATGTCTAAAAAGTAATCAGTGGCATGTAAGAATTGTAATCACAATTAAAAGTATAGTTACTGATATTTTGCTTTTTTTTGGGCATAGTAAGTAGAAGGGTTTCTTTCTCCCTATTTTTCCCCTTCCTTACCTTCTCTATCTTTTCCTTCTCTCTCTCTCTCTCCTTCTCTCTGTCTCTCTCTCTCTCTTCTCTCTCTCTCTCTCTCTCTCTCTCTCTCTCTCTGTACTTCCCTGCTTCTTCTGAAGTTGTATTTATTTTTGGAGGGGGTGAGGGGCAGGTTTTTTTTTTCATTTTTAATAAGAGATTTTTGAAGCCATAATCATCACATAGAGAGATTCAAAAAAATGAATCTCGGACATGGAGTATAAGGCATAAGAGCAATGGTGCAGGAGACATTTCCAGTGGTAGTAGCTTCCTAAAACTCTCAAGTTATACTGTCTAGGCAGCCATCTACTCTGCCCTTACTTAAGGTTGGTCCTATTAGGTGTCTTTGTGTCGTTGTCACGCTCACCACTCTACCACCAACCAAGCCATACTGTGCTGGTGCTTTGATAATTAATTTTCACTCTTATAAGTAGCCGTTAAAAAAAATACCAAAAAGGTGGTTAAAGACCTAGTAAGGTATTTCATACCAGGAACATGTGGTTTGGACTCCCAACTGGATTTTGTACTTATGAGTGTATCATAGGGACTTTCCTCCATTTATTTTACTTATGTGAACTGTGACATTTACACAACCAGGAAGCTACATGGAGCCATCCTTTTATCTCCTTTGAAATAAGTGAATATGCAGATCCTGACTTTAACAAATTCTAAGTCCTATTTATTGCTTTTTAAGAGTATGTTTGTAGTGTTTGAATAGTTTTCCATGAAATCATTGGGTTTGTTTTTGTTTTAGCTTTCACCATTTTGGGGGAGTTTTTTTTCATGACATTAAAACAGAGTTGACAAAGGAACCTAAAAATGAAACCATTTCCTTCCATTTCTGCTGGTAGACTCAAGGGGAGGAAGCCAACCCCCCCCTGCCTTTTTGGTTGCTTCGAAATTGAGCATCTCTTTTGTCAATGCTGGGCTGTGATGAGGAGGTGTTGACTGAAACTTTTGCAGCCTAGATGCTTTCTGCTAATGACAGTTTTTTGGGTATCTTTGGTTTTCTCTGGACAACCTAGCAAACATTTATTTAAGGGCATATTCAGAAAATTGAAGACAGTTTTAAGACAAATAACTTCATAGCTGTTCAGAGGAAAAAAGAAAAGTCTGAATATGTGGGAGCTGAGGTTTCACGTGTCTTTGTTCCTAACATGGTGAGGAATTTGCATGGCCTTGTTTCTTTCTGGTAAATGATGGCTAGTTTTTCAGATTTTTGTAGAAATATTAGATTATTAGTATGTGTGGTAAAAATTGGTTTCATGGGGGCAGCTAGATGGCACGGTAGAGAGAGCGCTGGCCCTGAAGTCAGGAGGACCTGAGTTCAAATCTGGCCTCAGACCAAACACTTGACACTTACTAGCTGTGTTACCCTGGGCAAGTCACTTAACCCCAATTGCCTTAAAAAAAATTGGTTTCATGTTATAGAGAATTACTTAACATTGTATTTCTTTCTCTAGCTCTTGCTATCTAGGACTACCGTCTCGTCTCTCTTTTTGGGTCCACACAACAGAGATTCTTCTTATGCCCTGAAGGCAATCTGTTTCATGTTTTTTTTTTTTTTTAAATTAAAGGGCACAATATTTTCATGAGCTTCAGGTTTATTGGATTCATTACAGAGTAGAGGAAACCCTGATTGTTAGCACAAAGGGTTAAGCCTTCAGGATTCTTTTCTTTTGTGTCTTTGATGCAAATGTACCTCATTTTGAACTTTCCCATTTGGTTTTCATGTGCACTTATCCACACATAGAGGCTCTTGCCATTGTTTTAGTTATATGTCTTTTATGATATTTTCCCATCTTGATTTGATTGTGGCATGTTTTCTTTTTTCCAGTGTGATTTGGTTGGGTTGGGAGCTGCTCTTTTACTTTTGGTTCTATCTTCTGATGTCTTAGATTTCCAAACGGTTTACATTTTAGTCCCTATTTCATTGCTTTGCTACAATAAAGGAGAATTTATTTAAACCTCTCTCCATTTTTTTAAAATTCTGGATTCTTCTTATTTTAAATGACCATAGTTGTCTTTTGCCATTAGATTGGCTTAACGTATTTAGATGTGACATGCTATTTCTTCGTTAGAAATCTGCCTAATGGCTTCCTCCCCTAAGACTTTCTTTGATCTGTCTTTTGTTTTTCGTCAACTTGCTTATATGTGGCATTTACCTCCTAGTCCCATTTGAAATCTAACACAGTGTTTATATCATCTTTAGTTAAAAGCAATTTTACATTTACTTTCAGTTCTTTCATTTGCCTCTGTTTCTCAGTGTAAGGGTGGTTGTGGTGGTGGTGGAATAGGGCAGAACAGGGTAGTGAAAGGTTATAGCAATGTTACAGGGAATTAGAAACAGAAACACTTTACAAAGTTGATATTTTCCTGTTTCCAATATTAAGATCCCTTCAGTTTTGTAAAAATGGGGTGACCTCTCCTCTGCTTTAGCTGGCCCAAAGTAAATCCTACTTTCTGTGACAATTCAAACCATCCCTCAGTCTCTTTTTTGTTGGTCCTCTGCACAAGCAGTGAGTCAATAAACATTTATTAAGAACCTACTATGTGCCAGATATTATGCTAAGCACTTGGGATACAAAGAAAGGCAAGACTGTCACTGATATAAAGGAGCTTACAACCTAATGAGGGAAACAACATGCAAATACCTATTCACAAACAAGATATATACAGGATAAATTTAGAGTTAATCAGTAGAAATAAGGAATGAGATTTTAGGGGCCCCAGGAAAGCTGCCCTGCAGAAGGTGGACTTTTAACTGGGGACATGAAAAAATCCAGAAAACAAAGTTAAGGAGGGAGGGCTTTCCAGGCATGAGGAATAAGCCAGTGAATGGTGTCTAGAGGACTGTCTATTCCAAGAACAGGACGGAGGACAACGTCATTGCATCGCAGCATGTATGGCGTGGGGAGAGAGTGCAAAGTTGAAGACTGGAAAGGTGGGGGGTGCATTTTATGAAAGGTTCTGGATGTCAACCAGATGATTTTAGTTGGTCCTGGAAGTGATAGGGAGCCAGAAGCACAATATCTTTTTTTCTGTAAATTTTTCACTACGAAATATGCTCCACATTGTATTTTGGTTATCTAATGAATAATGTTAAGGGTTCTGTAGCATTCTCAAGACCTCCCAAGAATGACTGGAAGCACTGTGAATCAGTACATACTAGGTTAGCAGGGGGAGGTAACAAAATATATAGTATAGAAGCCAATGTAGGTTTCCTTTAAGGATCAGATGAGATAAAGCATATAAAGTGCTTTGTAATCTTTTAAAGTGCTCTATAAATGTCAGCTATTTATAGTAGTCACAGAAAATATGATTGTGAAGTCCTCAACATTTTAAAAATCCTACCCAATGTGACAAGGCACCATGGAAGGCAGTGGGGAACAAGCTAGGAGACAGTCATACCCACCTACCCACTCACCCCTGACTACCTCCCACTTTGAAGTTCTTTGCTATTGCTTTAAGGTTGAGGTGCTCCTTAATCATTGGCCATGTGTCATGAATCAGTTTCTTTACCTGACTTACTTAGACTCTGACTTCTATAATTTTATAGTTTGCAAGATATGCAACAAGAGTATTGTGATTATGTCATTTCTCAGTGCAATAAAAGCTTCTGAAAAATTCTTAACCCAAGGAAATGCCATTTTAGTATTTGTATTTGAGGTTGATTTTCAAATTTATGAAAATTTAAAGAATTGATGTATGCAAGACCAGATTTTCTTGGTGATGAGAAATTGCAATGGAAATGGAAATTTTTTTAAATGAAATTCCACTAATGGAATCACACTGGGTTTCTATTTAATTATCCAACAAGTATGACCTAAACTATTAAAGACTCCCAATTAGCACAGTGCACTCCCCAGGGAAGAAAGCCCCAAATCATATTGATGGAAGCCAAAGGCTCTGTGGAGAATAATAGCAGGAAGTATCACAAGCTTTATATTCTAAATGTGAAGTTGGGAAAAGAAAAAAAAAACCACAACATTAATGGAAAGAACTTGTCTACTCAGAGCAGCACATGTGTCTTTCATTAATTTTTCCAGATTTATCCCAAGCTCTCCACATGTATATATGAAGGACAGTTTTGATCTTAAAACTTGAAAACAATCAAATACTGAAAAATATATTTTTCCTATGTGGGTGGGTCAATTAAGAATAAGTGATATCTGGCTGTTATTCTTCTGTTTTGAAGTGTCTAGAGAAGTTCCTAGATCATGTTACAACTGTCTTCATATTCCTAGTTTTCAGAGATAACAAGAAAAATGATACTGGTTTTTAAAGATAAAAAATGATTTTCAAAAGCTGTTTTTAGGCCAGATACACACACGTATTTTTAGGCACAGACCTACAAACTCAACC